GTCGCTTTGACAGCTTGCTATGCGCCACAGCGATACAAAACGTTAACAAGCTGAAAGAAATAATTACTTAAGGAAAAACTTCGCGTTACTGTTAGGCGTCCGTGGCGAGCTCTATCCGTTTGAATCCTTAAATAAATGAAAACAACGAAATGCGTCATTGGATTGTTTCTATTTCACTGATAATTTATCTGTCCTTGCTTACTTAATTAGTCTCTGTTCCTACAAAAACTTTTATCGTCCCTATTTTTTTCTGAATAACTACTATAATACCATCAAAAGTGCCGGAGATTACCTTACCAGTTCTTCAGTTTTTTATACATAATTGAACACATACGCATAATGTACTTTTATTTATTTATTTCAATTGCGAGTTGTTGAGAAAACCACTAATCAATCAATCAAGATACGTTTATTCAATTTAGATGCGTCTTAGGGCATGCTTATGAATGTCAAAAACGTTTACAAAATTCGCGAAACAGCAAGACTACGCCATCCGTTCGCAAAACTACCAGGAGGCCTTGTTCTGAGAAGAACGTTTTCAAAGTCAATTTAACGACGATATATTGTAGGCCACCTTAGAGAAACAAACGTTACCCCCGCTAAGTTAAAATTAATTAAATAAAACACAGTTAACGTCGCTTACATGATGACGACAAAAATTTAATATTGAACTATTTATATTTAAAAACATTAAATAATACTTACAGTAAACTGAGTCTGGTCATAGTCGTCTTCTAACTTTACACCTAATCTACATTAAGCGTTGTTTTTATATAAACAGTTTTATCAAAGGTAAGTACCAAGGCTCACATAATACATATCTTATTCATCAAAATATGTCAGATATATGATATAATATGATAAACACGAAGAATAAGTGGCCTACGCTATATATCTGTATATATTAATACAAAAATACCAACGTTTATTTCCTGCTCATAAGTTGATCATAAAGGAATTCATATCAATTTAAGTTAATAGAAAACAATAACCGTAGGGTGGTATCCTTTCGCTTGAAGAAATCGCTTGTTAGCGATAAGGCCGCCCGTTGCCTTATAACTTTTGTAACCCGCTTTATTATTGTGTATGTTTTTGAATAAGGTAATAAAGTATAAATAAATAAATAAAACAATGTAAACTTTAATTTTTGTTATAGATCCTTAAAAGTACCTACTATCTTTGTTGTCAAAAGTCGGAAAGATCAATGTGACAAGGAAAAATCTAATCTTTCCGAGCATTGGCATTAATAAACCCCGACTTGAGGGCTGACAATGAGTCTAAAATACTGATAATGTAAATTTAACACTGTACAATAATTATCTTTATTAATTAATTTTACACTTCCCGTTTTTTATAAAACTATCCGTAACTACTCAAATTGATGTTTCTTGCAGTTTTAGATGATCATCATGATGATATGTTTAAAGGCACCAACAATCTTCGGCTACAAATTAGTAGGTAAGTAAGTGCATCCTCAAAGATCCTTCCTTTTGGTTGAAGTCACAGCATCCTTCCACCACATATTTTTATCTGAAATCAAAAGCAATAGAAACCCTACTTACTGAAGTTTTTCAAGAACAATATTATAATTATCTAACTTGGTTTGGTCTAGCCCAATCTTTGACCGTCTTACAACAATGACTCCGAATCTATTATTATTAATCTATTGCTCCTTATCTAACGATTATAAAAAACGCCGTTCCCTTTTTTTTTTTTTTTTTTTTCCCCCGGGGGGGGGTTTTTTTTCCGGGGGGCCCCCCCCCCCCCCCCTTTTTTTTTTTTTTTTTTTTTTTTTTTTTTTTTTTTTTTTTTTTCTTTTTTTTTTTTTTTTTTTGGGGGGGGGGGGGGGTTTTTTTTTTTTTTTTTTTTTTTTTTTTTTTTTTTTTTCCCCCCCCCCCCCCCCCCCCCCCTTTTTTTTTTTTTTTTTTTTTTTTTTTTTTTTTTCCCTTTTTTTAATAAATGTATTTTCCAATCTCATGGAATATAATAACATTATTCCTTTATTTAAGCCCGGACATATCGGACCCCTCGAATTACCGCCCTATATCAATTTTACCGACTTTAAGTAAAAGCTTTGAAAAAATTATTCATAATCAATTGCTTTCACATTTAAGATTAAATAAATTTCATGATAGACGATTCGGTTTTACTAAAGGTACAAGTAGTACAGATGGGGGTGTTGAGCTCATGAAACAAATATTTGATGCCTGGGAAAATGAGCAGGGTGCTTTAGCTGTCTTCTGTGACCTGTCCAAGGTCTTTGACTTTTTACATGGCGTCTCATCAAACTCAATAAAAATAATAAATTCATACATTCATATATCAATGAACGATTACAAAAAGTGATTATAAATAAATCATGGGTCGATATTAGGGCTGTTGCTTTTCCTTATCTACATAAATGACCTGCCAGTTTATGTAAATAACTTATGTGAAACGGTATTATTTGCAGATGATACATCATTTATTTTTAAAATCAATAGGAACACAGTAAATTTTGACGATGTGAATAATGCCCTTTCCCAAGTTAGGGTTGGTTTATTTATAATAACTTGTTACTAAATTCTAATAAAACAAAATTTATACAATTTTCTTTGCCTAATGTAAAACAGGTCAGTACAAATACATACATTACATACATTAATGATGAAATTATTTAATGTGTTGATTCAACTGTATTTTTAGGGATCGCTCTAGATTCTCGTTTGCAATTGAGCCTCATCTTACCGGGTGGTTATCGGGAAGACTTAGTTCGGCTGCTTTTGCGATAAAAAAAGATTAGATTATTGTCTGATATTGAAACGAGCGAGGCTTGTATATTTCAGTTACTTCCATATTGTTTGGCATATAGTGTGGGGCAGAGCAGCCGATATTCAAGATATTTTTGTATTACAAGAAAAAGAAATACGCGCTGTATATAAATTGAAATATTATGTACGTTTATAAAAACATAAATACATTTCTAAGCCGCAGTGACTGTAACAATTTAAACACAAGAAGTACTCGAAGAAGCCTTGCTTTTCCACCTTTCAGAAATGTATACAAATATATAACAAAATTCCACATCATGTAACCAAACTTCCGTTACATACGTTTAAACCATTTTTTTTACATAGATGATAAGAATGTGTTGGCACTAATATCGCTATAAGAAAGTGAGATATTATTATTGTGAATCACTAAATGTATTATTTATATTGACTATATTGTAATGGAACACACTATAACTACTATGGTTTCATTATATATACTATATTTTCTTTTTGACGTTCATAAGTGTCATTATCTCGGTTCACAGTACTCACACTAATCAATTTCACATACAGTATGTTTCAAAATATGATTTTTTGCCAAGCTATATATTTTAGTCCACTCTGGTTTTAGTAAGGTTGGGTGGGTTGTAAATAAATAAAAATGTGTCAAATACATATAAATATTAGGTGCATACGAGGGTGGATCCAAAAGTTCTAAGCCAGACCAAGAAAGTGAAAGAGTAGTTCGTGTAAATAATTTTTCATTTTTCGACATACGCTCCATCTAGCCATGACTTTGTTGGTCGACAAAACGACCTTAGCCGTTTTCGGAGTAGGTGATCCAGATATTTTCCATTGTTTGGACTGTTGCTTTTGATTCAGGAGTATGGTGGTGAACCCACTTTCAACAAATCAAAAAAAATCAAATCAGCTTTCAGCTTTCTGCATCTGATGTCAAATGAAATATAACATTTTTTTCATTAAACTGTTTTTATTAAGATGCTTAAAATAATTAAAAACATTGTGCACCATTTCACGAGATTGCCCTGGTAATGTTTGAAAAAAGATCAACATGTATAGTAAAGATCAACATAAACAGTAGCAAAAGCAAAACAATAACTGTCTCTTTTACACTCATAAGCTTGACCGAGCGCGAGAGAGACGGACAGTCTTTTCATGATGTATTTGTGTTTGGATTTCAGTTTGACGTCACGCCTCGCGCTTATTCACAGACACTACACAAGCACAAAGTGTGTGTAAATGTGTTGAAGCCGCCAGCTTTAAATAACATAACTATGATTTTTGACTTTTGAATTTCGTCTTTTCAATCTTAATCTGAATCTCGAATGTCAAAAACTACGGGGGCCATACTTTTCGCTAAATCTTATGAAATAGAACTTTAATTTCTAAATCAATGCAAGTGATCGACGAAGCACTCATTTAAATTGGTTCTAATTGCAAAAACGTAAAAACATGCCTTTGCCAACGCTTTGCCTTTTTATTAAATTTGTTGTTATTTATTTATCTCTGTGACTATATGTACACTTTGATCTGGGCTTTGTTTTACTAGAATTATATTAGAGCAGAACATACGTTTTGCTAATAAATTTCTAACAGGTATTTAGTAAATTATATAATTACGGATAACTTTTTCTAACATACTTACTAATAAACAAAGCCAGGTCAAAGATTACATATCGACACAGAGACAAATACCTAATACATAGAATTCAGCCGGGACCTTTGATTTTGGTCAATATAACCGGTATGTTATTCTAAACGATGTCGTCGCAAACGGTTTTGACTGTAGGTATATCTTTTTAATAGTTATGTATAAAGTTGGTCGTAAAATTTTCTATCTGCCAAATTTCTCCTCGGAATACTGCTTACGATCAACCCCCTAATTACGGCTCATCCTCTATCTTTTGTTTGTTTGCAGTATTTAGTTTATTTATCTAAATACCAACTATATTTAAATATAAGAATTACAATGCGTCAATGAGATTGCGACATTTATGGAGACGTGAATGACTGACTTTGCAAACTTTAAATCCCACCATTAGGAAAAGAGTGGTCTTCCTGATAAATGATTATTTTTAAGTTTTACCGTCTAAAAAGAAACTTAATTCTCCGGAAAATCGCATCCAGCAAATTTTAGGCATTTAAATTACCCAAGATCAACACACGCAGTTATACACACGTAGTTTTTTTAATAATTGTAATAAAAATCATTTTAGTCTTGAATTTTTAATGACCTTCGTCAATAGTAAGTGGGGCCGACATGTCCGGTTCATAGTGATGGTCCAAACTGCGCGTACGAAGGATCTCTTTGTAAACATACGCAGATTTTCTTGGCGTGCGTGTGCGTTCTGGACTATTGTAATCCACCTCGTACAGACCAAAACGCTCCCTGCAAGTAAAGGATTGATATTTTTTTTAAATTAGCATGACAATAAACGCTTACATCTATAACAATGACAATAAAAACCGAACAAAGTTGTTACATATAAATTATAAGTTGTTGCAAAATTATAAAAAGACAGCTCTGCGAAACTGTGAGTAAGAGTGGTGGAAGTGGAGTGATTGGAAGGGATCAATTTCAAGATAATTTGTTAGCTAACTTACACATTCTAAGAACAGCAGGGATAAACCTATTACGGTTCCACGAAAGGGAATGGGAAAAAGTTTAATAGGAACCCCAAGAATCCTGAAGTTTATTTTTGAGAGCAAACCAGACTATCTATGGGTTTTGATAATTATAATTATTATATAATAAATTATATGTAACAGACATGTCCGCTAGGTCCCACCTCTTGCCTATGAATAAAACTTTAACGTGATCAATAATTATTTGATTGATTTCCAGTCCATTTCTAAAGTGTTGCCTAATGCGGGCGATTTAAAGATCAAGACATAATAAAAAATACTCTTCCTTCTTATTGCACTATTTTTAATCAAGTACATAAAAATATCGCAGGTTTTTATACTGTAGAAGATGTCATACTCACGTATAACCATATTTCCATTCGAAGTTATCCAGTAAACTCCAGGCAGTGTATGCTCTGACATCCGACCCTTCTTCCATGGCGTCTAACATAGCTGACAGATATTCCCGGTAATAAAGAACTCGGTGATCATCTTTCAGACCAGGACGGGTAGCGAAACCATTCTCCGTAATATATATGGGAGGATTTCCATATTTTTCTCGTATAGCAGTCAGTAAATTATAAAAGCCCCATGGTACTGACTAAAACAAAATAATTATGTGAAAATATAGCAGAAAGCACTATAAACAGTTACAATTTTCTATATCTGTAAAAAAATAAAATAAATCAGACTGGAGGCTCACATAGGTTTTAGATAAAGCGCTATTAATATTCACTTTTGTCACACCCTGTCATTTAGTTTTTGCTACTTTAGGAAGACAAAATTACTTTTTCTAATCTAAAAGACGTTTTTAATTTTCTATACTCACATATACTTTTTGGGACTCTCCAATCTGCCATTCCGGTAAAGTGTACTGGACTGCACTAATATCATCGAAAAATGATGGTGAATCAAACATTGTATCAGCAGATTCATTTCTATACACCATACGAGTTGTGTAATGGTTAAGACCAAATGCATCAGCGCTTCCCTTAACAAACTCGATTTCTTCTGGGGTAAAATCAATGAGCCGGCTCCTAGGATAGCCCTGCTGTGCGCTTTTAGCAGAAATCCTTTCTTTCATAACCTGTGGGTAGCCTCCGGTTTCAGAGAATATAGGATGCACGTACTGAGCCCACTGTAATTATAAAAAAATCATATCATCTAAACTTTAAGTTTGAACCCGCCAATCACAGGTTCGAAGTAAAATAATACAAAATAATAATTAAAAATGGTTGACACGAGTAACTTAAACTTTTGAATGAATACGTTTTACAAAGCTGTTAATAATGCAGTCGAAACATGGGGCGCTATAATTAAATACGGGTATTTATTACGTGAAAAGTGATTACCATAAAATCATTAGCATCATTAGCTGCCTGTTCATGTTCTTCACTTTCAGGCTCATACCACTGAGCACTGTATCCTATAAAAACTATGCCATTCCATTTGTCTCTATATTCTTTATCATAAATATGATAGGCTGTTGCATGGGCCATCAACAAATTCTTTGAACACATGTACTCTGCTACACCCTTCATGTTTACCATCGGCGCCTTGGCGGTATCACCGTATCCATCATTACATATCTGGAACGGCTCGTTTATTGTGATCCAATACTTAACTCTATCTCCGAAATGGTCAAAGGCTACCCTAGCAAAATCAGCAAACCAATTAACAATATGAGGGTTCGCCCATCCTCCTAATGTTTGCAACTTTTGAGGCAGATCCCAATGGTACAGCGTAATCATAGGTTCAATGTTGTGTTTTAATAGTTCGTTGATCAAATTATTATAATAGTCGATGCCAGCCTGGTTGATAACATCTGGGAAGCTGTTGGGTAGTATTCTAGTCCAAGAAAGGGAAAATCTATAGTAGTCCAGACCTAGTTCTCTCATCATTTCAACGTCCCTTTTGTACAAGTGGTAGGAGTCGTCGGCAATGTCGCCATTTGAACAATCTAATATCTCACATGGTTTTGTATGAGTCAAATGATCCCAGATATTTTCAGATTTGCCTAAAACAACATGTGTTATATGTATTTAATTATTTCCAATAGTCGATAAATAAAGAACTTGAATATAATATTTATTGTCTGAATAATTAAAAAGAAACTTAAGAAAAAAAAAAAAAGATAAGACTTTATAATTTTTAGATTTTGTCTTATTCAATCGTTAGTTAATATAATAGAGAACATTTACTAATTACCCTAATAAGTAATAAGTAATAAGACGTAAATAATGATTCTTAGTGTAAATTTCAGAGTAAAACGACCTACTTGAGTCACACTCACCGCTGTCTGGGTTACGCGACTTAGTTCGCGTGACCACCCCGTATGTCAAAATCCAATACATTTTTGTCATAAGGGAGTCATATATAAGACTTGGTGGGCGGAAAAACGTAGTTAACATATTTATTCCACCACATAGCAAACATTTCAGTACAGAAAAATACAAGTATAGACACATAAATAATATACACTACCATCTATATTCCAAGCTCCCTCCACTTGATAAGATGCAGTCGCTGTCCCAAAAAGGAAACCTTCCGGAAATTTCCTCACTTCATGTCCCTCTGACCGCTTGCTTTGTGCCGCAGCAATGCAAAACGTTAACAAGCTGAAAGAAAAAATGACTTAAGAAAAAGCCTTTCACTTTTGCGTTTCCGTTTGGCGTCCGTGGCGAAGTTTAAATCCTTAAATTAATGAAAACAATAAAAAGCGTCATTGGATTATTATTAATATTATTATGTATATAAACACACTAGCAGCTTAATAAGCTGATGCGCGTGTATTTTGAGATTTAGAGAAACTATGCAATCTATTTTTAAAGGAGTTCAGAGATGGCGCACTGATTACACTTTCCGGAAGCCTATTCCAGTCGGCCACTACTCGGTTTGGGAGAAAGTTCTTTAGGGAATTTGTGTTATGTTGAGTGATCTTAAGTTTTTAGAGAACTGCACCTCAAATGTGTATTTTCACTTAAAATTCTTTTAAGTGAAAATACACATTTAATTTCGCTTCTCAATTCCTGGAACATTATAGTGGCCAGTGAGGATTTTATAGGTTTCAATAAGATTTCCTCTTAATCTCCTACTTCCTAAATCAGTAAGGTCAAGTGCTTTCAGACGCTCATTATAAGATTTCTTCCTGAGTGACCTGATCATTTTCGTGGCTTTTCTTTGAACCCTTTCAAGCATACTAATATCCTTTATGAAATAAGGATCCCAAATGCTGTAGGCATACTCTAATAGTGGTCTAATTGTTACCACTTCACTGAAAATTTATCTGTCCTTGCTTACTTAATTAGCCTATGTCCCTACGATTTTTTTTATCATCATTTATCCTGAAGAATTACCGTTTTGACCATCAAAAGTGGCGGAGAGTTTTTTACCAGTTTTTCTCGTCAGGTCTACGTCCTTGATTAGGGAACTTGGAGTAAATATAAATTTGGAAGCATTTACTTTTTTATTCATATTAAAAAACATACAAACGAATTAATGATATTTTATTTATTTATTTGAATTGCGAGTTGTTAAGAAAACCGCTACTCTCAAAGTCAATTTAACGACGATATGTTCTAATACACCCTAGCGTAACAGATGACGTCACCCCCGATATATGGAAATAAAATTAATAAAACACAGTTAACGTCGCTCAGATCATGATGATGACAAAAATTTAATATTGGACTATTTACATTTAAACATTAAGCATTACTTACAATATACTGAGTCTGCTCATAGTCGTCTTCTAACTTTACACCTAATCTACTTTAAGTGTTGTTTTTATATAAGTTTTACAGTGCTAAGCCTTACATATCTTATCCATCAAAATATGTCATTTATATGGATTTAATATGACAAAGCACGATAACATAACTTGTAGGCGTAAAAGAGTGAGCTAGGCTATATATACATATTATATAGTAGGGTGGTCCTAATTTTTCGACTTTTGAATTATCCTCGGGACACTTTCTCATTTGAATATATACCTTTAAATATGAAGTAATTTTTTTTTGTTTTTGTTAAGATTTAGAGGTCGCTACCAGCTGTCAAAATTTTTACAATTAAAATATTTTTTTACATTATTAACTGTAAGCTTTCAGTCTTAATGTCTCTAAATTGAGTGACAGACAAGCAACTATTGTCGTGAAATAAAAATAGTAATCGTCCTCGGGGCAAATGGAGCAATTTAAATACAAAGGCACCCCCGTCCACACTAGCCGTGGACTTCACAAATGTTAGGACTTAGGGGGCTTAATTCTAACATCAACGCTGTCCACTATCATCTAGAGACTGCGAAGCCGGCCTTGCTCTTTCTTACCGAGACTCAGATATCCTCCCCGGCTGACACTTCCCACCTATCCTACCCGGGGTACAAATTGGAACATTCATTTGTGCCGCGAGCTGGAGTTTGCGTGTACGTCAGAGAGGATATCTGTTCTCGTCGCCTCGGGACGCTTGAAGGAAGGGACCTATCTAACCTCTGGCTGCGCGTAGACTGCGATGACCATCCGCGATTCTACGCATGCCTGTATAGGTCCCATAGCGGAAATACCGAAACTGACCGACTCATTGAGCACATCCAAATGGCTACAGATTCCCTGCTTGAAAGCTGCTGCAAGTATGACGAGTTCCTACCGCTGAAATCGTCATACTTGGCGATTTTAACACCATGCCGATTGGCTCGGCTCTGAAACCACCGATCACGCGGGAAGATCCTTTCACGACTTTGCTTTAGCCTACGACCTGACACAAATGGTCCCTGCGATTACGCGAATACCAGATTTGAATGGTCATAAACCCTCTTTGTTGGACCTTCTGCTGACTTCACATCCGGAGAACTATCAAGTCTCTGTTGACCCGCCATTGGGTTCATCGGATCATTGTGTGGTCCGGTCCGGAGTACTGTGCCTTCTACGCGAGCGTTTTTCAAGGCAGTGTTTGCCGCGCACCACCACTATGTGGAACCAGCTGCCCATTGAAGTATTCCCGAACCAATTCGACTTAGGGTCCTTCAAGAAAAGAGCGTACCAATTCTTAAAAGGCCGGCAACGCACTCGCGAGCCCTCTGGCATTGAGAGTGTCCATGGGCGGCGGTATCACTTAACATCAGGTGAGCCTCCTGCCCGTTTGCCCCCCGTTCTATAAAAAAAAACTATTGTCGTGACATCTACTTTGAAAAGTGCAGGCTGTGTTAAAAATCGCAAAGCTGTTGCAGAGTCGCTCAAAAGCGCGTTTAAACATAATTCGTCATTAACAATCCATTGAGACGGTAACTTATAGAAGATATTACTGGACACGAAACTATAGATCGGCTGCCGACTTTGGTATCAGGATATGGAGTTGATCAACTACTCACCATTCCTAAGTTGGGACGTGGAACAAGCGAAGCTGTGCGTCAGCTGTCTACGAATCTATAAAGTCATGGCATTTGAGCGATAAAGTAAAATATTTGTATTTTGCCACTACAGCCTTGCGATTCTGTAACTCACTTTTCGAACTCTCTTTCGCAGCGGCGGTCGCGCTCAAATCAGTCGTGAAGCAGTCATTTTACGGTTTGGCAAATCTGTTGTAAATATCGGATTAAAGTGTGGACTACCCGTTCTTTTGGAGCGCAAAATGCTTTGGTTGTGTTGTCGTCACCACGTAATTGTATCGTAAAAAAAACAAAAAAATAATAATTTCATAATATTTTGTAAGACCTGAGTATAAAAATAAGGAATTTATTTTAATTATAGATCTTTAAAAGTACCTACTATCTTTGTTGTCAAAAGTCAGAAAGATTATAATTCAAGATCGATGTGACAAGGAAAAATCTAATCTTTCAAGGGGGTCTCTTGTTATTGCACATTTCCGAGTATTGACATTTATAATCCCCGACTTGGCTGCAAATCAGTTAAAAATGCAGGTAATGTAAATTTAACACTCTCTCTCCTTATTAATAAATTTTACACTTCACTTTTTTTATAATACTATTCATAACTATTTATTTATTTATACTTTATTACCTTATTCAAAAACATACACATAACAAAAATAAAAAAGCAGGTTAAAAAAGTTATAAGGCAACGGGCGGCCTTATCGCTAACAAGCGATGCGATCCAGGCAACCCTAATGTTGAACAATGAAAAAGAAACACCTACAGAGGGTAGAGTACAAGAAATGCAAAAATTATTAACAAAAAAAAAACTCAAAATAACACGTTGCTATAACTAAAATAAAATAAAGGAAAAATAACAATAATAATAAATAAAAATATGTATAAATAAAAATTTAAAATACAATCAAAAGGTTGGAAGGAATCAGAGTCACAATAATTAATATACTATAAATAATAACTATTCAAATTGATTGAATAGTTATGAATAGTATTAGATTGATTTCTTGCAGTTCATTTCGTTCATCAATTTCATTCACCCACAACAATAACAGCCAGCACTGCAACTTGTATAGATAGTAAATCTAGTGACATAGCCCTTTTGAATGTTTGTATTTTCAATTGATTTAAATCTGATCACACTGGTCAATGGTTTGAATTCCAATTAAGACAACAAAAAACATGTAAAAAGAAGAAAATTTTGATAACTCCTATTAAGTACAAATGACAAATTTGGGCATATTTAGAGAAACATTGATCTATGCCATTTCTGTGTGACAACTCATTCCCTAATAATTTATACAGTACTTTTTTTGGATCATTTATTGATGAATTCAAGAAAGTATTTACGCAAAAGACTTTATTTGTCTCTGAGAAAACAACTTTATATGACTGGGCGAATGAGGTGTAACACAGAAAAAGGTTAAAATTATATGAAATGTATGATGAAAAGCAATATAATACTAGTGTGGAATTTAATTCCTTAAATTCTTCACTAGTATATCTATTAGGAATATCTTAGGTTGTAGGTATTCAAATAATGATGGCTCATTGGTCTAGTGGTTAGTACCCCTGACTGCGAATCCATGGGTCGCGGGTTCGATCCCCGGCTGAGACAAACATCGATGTGATGAGCATTTGGTGTTTTGCTTAGGTGTTGGGTGTTTAAACATGTATTTACATGTGTGAGTCTATCTATGTATAATATGTATGTATATATATCCGTTGCCTAGTACCCTTAACACAAGCTTAGCATGGGACTAGGTCAATTGGTGTGAATTGTCCAATCATAAAAAAAATCAAAAATATTGCAAAAGTGCAACGTCACAATATTTAAGCTCAAAAATAAAAAATAGCATGTATAAAGTAAAAGCTACCTTGAAAATAATAAATGAACAATCAGGTAAAACGTCTGACAAACGAACCGATCATATTATATTAAAAGTGAAAGGGAAATTCATAAAATCTGACCCAGAGGTAGCTTCAACTTTTGAAGAGTTTTTTACAAATGTACCACTAAATACGACCAAGTTCCTGGATTCTTCACCTGCTGCTGCGATCTCATTACTAGACAAATGTATACCTAAATGTAATATTAAATTTCAGTTTAAACATACTTGTAATAATATCGTTAAAACATTTAAGCCTTTTAATTTAAAAAAAGTAAAAGATATATGGGGTATGTAAACAGTCATTTTAAATACCGTTATTGATGTAATAAACTCTGAATTATCTATAATTTTTAACAGATGTATCGATTGTGAAGTCTTTCCGTACCAAATGAAATTAAGTTAGATAACACCATTGTTCAAGGCAGGTAGTGAGTCTGATCCGTCAAACTTCAGACCTGTTTCAGTGCTCCCCGCGTTGGGCAAAGTTTTTGAAAAGATAATGCTAGACCAACTACCATACATTTGAATAAAAATAAACTCTTACATAATAAACAGTATTTTTACTAAGGGTCGCTCCACAATCGATGCCGGTGTGAAGTTGATTTCGGACATATTTAACGCCTGGGAAGAATCATATGATGGAGTCGGCGTCATTTGTGACCTGTCAAATGCTTTTGACTGTGTTCGTCCTGATATACTGGTTGGAAAGCTTCAACACTATGGCGTTGATGGCAAAGCTTCCAGCCTGATGAATTCATATTTAAAGAGAAGGATGCAAAGACTGCATGTCAATGGACTCCCCCAAGGCTCCCGATTCTCGGGCCTTTCTTATTTCTGATTTACATAAACGACCTCCCATTCTTTGTCAACGGAGTTCATTTGCATATGGTAATGTTTGCTGATGATACTTCACTTTTATTTAAAGTGAATAGGAAAAACATATTATTGGACGATGTAAACAATTCTATCTCTCGTATAGTTAACTGGTTTAATGTAAATAACTTACTGCTTAATGAGAATAAAACAAAATATATTAGATTTACTACTACTAGCGTAAAGCGACATATTCGTAACCTGAAAGTTAAGGACAGTGAACTAAACTTTGTTGACAAAACTGTTTTTCTAGGCATAACAATAGATAGTAAACTCCAGTGGAGCCCACACATAGAGACTCTTTCGAAAAGGCTAAGCTCTGCAGCATACGCAGTAAAGAAAATCCGACAGTTTACTGATAAGGACACGGCTAAAATTGTGTTTCATATCTACTTTCAGAGCGTTATGTCGTGCGGTGGAGTGCTGCTGCAGAGGGTCAATCCATTGTGCTGCAGAAGCGGGCTGTTCGGGGTATTTGTTGTGTTTCTCCGAGGGAGTCGGTACGCAATTAGTTTAGGGAATTAAATAATATAACACTATCTGGTCAATATATTCTTGAAGCATTGTTGTATGTACAAAAAAATATAAACGATTTTTAAACAAATGGTGACTTTCACCTATATAATACGCGAAATAGCACTAATTTGAGTGTACGACCAACCAGGCTCCAGAAGATAAACCACTCCTTATATGGAAATTGTATTTCTTTTTACAACAAACTCATTACACATCATACGTCATCAGTAAAACTTTTTATAAATTTGACGATTACTACTAAAATGATCCTAATCCTTGGGATTGATTTGCTCCAGTTCAAACAATTTGTATGACTCAAAACATAGCGAATTAAAAGAGTGGCGGAAAGTTTCTTGACAGTTGTTCTTGCCCGCTCTACGCTCTTGACTTGCGAACTGGTAGTAAATGTAAATTTGCAATAAATTTAACTTCTTTTTTGATAAATAAATATTAATATATAAATAATAATAAGATAATTAATATATAAATATTTTGAGTTTGAAGCAAATATTTGATGCCTAGGAAAATAAACTGGATGCTTTAGCTGTCTTAGCTGTGACGTGTCCAAGGCCTTTGAATGTTTAAAGCATAAAACATTATTCGAAAGTATAAAATAATAAATTCATACTTGAGTGACCATAAAAAGTGAATATTAATAAAGCAGAGTCTTTAGGGGCTCCCATTCTTATGGGTGTGCCTCAGGGGCCGTTGCTTTTTCTTATCTACATAAATGACCTGCCATTTAAACGGTATTACCATTTCACATAAGTTATTTACAGATGATACATCTTTTATTTTTAAAATCAATAGGAACACAGTAAATTTTGACGATGTGAATAATGCAACCAAACTTCCGTTACATAAGTTCAAACAATACGTAGATGATAAGAAAGTGTTGGCATTAATGCCGCTATAAGATAGTGAGATATTATTATTATGAATCACTAAATTTATTTATATTGTTATTGTAAGGGAATACGCTATAACTCACTATGGTTTCAATAATATATAGGTATATATATTTGACATTCATAAGTGTACATTCTGTTACCTACATTAATAAATGATTTTTGACTTTTGAATCTTAATCTGAATCTCGAATGTCAAAAACTACTGGCCATACTTTTCGCTAAATCTTATGACATAGAACTTTAATTTCTAAATCACTGTAATCGACGAAGCACTCATTTAAATTGGTTCTAAATATCTCTAAATCAAATTTCGTGCACATATTAAAATTTAAACTGTTAATATAGGTACTATTATACGTATTACGTACTGACTTCAAAAGTATACAAGTGACTTTATTATAATATATGAAAAAACATTTAAATATGATTTTTTCTGTTTGTGCGCTTTGCCTTTTTATGAAAATTGTTGTTATTTAACTCTGTGACAATATGTACACTTTGATCTAGGCTTTGTTTTATTTGAATTATAGTAGACCTAATCGTCGTAAAATTTTCAGACTGCCAAATTTCTCCTCGGATCTCTGCTTACGAGCAACGCCCTAATTGCGGCTCATCTTGTTTGTTTGTATTTAGCCGTATTTAGTTTATTTATCTAAATACCAACTACATATAAGTTATAATATATGCTTATATCACAATAGAGTTAGAAAACCCGAATTCAGAAGATACCTTGTAAACAGCCTTGACGAGACCTGTTAAAATCAGTCCGTGTCAAAAAATTCAAATCGGGATGGATAGGTCGTATTCAATGAGTGAAAATATATAAAATAATATTCGTAAAGCGGTGGTAACAACTTTTTATTATTATCAAATTGTTTGGCTTAAAATGTTTTGATTGCTACCTATCGGAATCCGATAATCGGATACTCGTGAAAACTTGTAGTGAGGTGCACAAAAACGATGCACAGACTGTGTGTCTGTCGCTTATAAGTAGTAGCTTATACACATAGATTATACATACTCTTTAGATTGGTGATATTTTATGCTATGGGTAAATGTTCCACGTATACTCGTAGTCGTAAAAATACTTTCCGTTAGGAATTGAAATTATAAATACATTGTTTTGTCAATTCGTTCAAAACCAACACTTGGTTTTTGGTATTTGCATAAAGTGACGAACTATAGAACGTTTTATTGTACCTAAGTAAGTAAGACGTCTCAATTCTCGCAAAGCGCAAGACTTATACTATTATGTCTTTATTTAACAGAAAGTATTTCTTATATTATTTATTTTCAGCGTGTGGTTATTGGAACTGTTATAGAAAAGCTTACGACATTTATTAACCTGTTTGGATTTTTAGCAAACCAACATTTGCAAGCAAACATGGTGATGTCGCATGATGATAGTGATCATGATTTAAATTAATTTAATAAAAGAATAAACCGATAAATTTCATTAAACCATAGACCGGTAACGGAACGATGTTGGTAGTACTAGATCTAGTACGTCACTAAATTTCATTACACAACCAATATGGCGTACCGTTTTAATTTCTAGATGAAGGTGTTCGTGGTTACTATTTGATTTGTTTTTGTAGCAGTTTCTTTATTGGAATACATTGTTCCTAAAATATAATGTAAGTCAATGAAAATATATACACTTGCCGTAAGTATGCTAGTCAAGTATTGATAAATATAAGTACAATTATTTATCCTTGACTGCTGTATAAGCAGCGGAATATCAATATAAACGTATATCTTACTATGCGGCTTTGTAATTTTTAGGTATTCTGAAGATGCCCGTAAACTCTAGGCCGAAAAAGAACCAGGGAGTCAATAGAAGTAAATATTCACTGTCTCTTAATAAGAATAATGCTGCAAATCTGAACTGTGTAGTTCAGAAAACAGTTTCCCCTATAACTAACGATCAAAAAGAGAACAGGCCTGTTAAAAGACCTCTACAGAGTACCTATCAAAATACATTGAATGCTGCTAAAAAGTTGAAACCATTAAGAGAAACAACATTACAAGCAGGTATTTACATTTTCACAAGATTATAAAAATCAGTTTCAATTGATTATACCATTATTAAAAGGCTTTATTTAAGAAATTGGGGACTGTTGTATGAGTCAAGTTCTCCAGTAAATAATTTCATACTATTTCCCAAATTCTTTAAGACTGAACTCATGTTTATTATTAACTGGGTATTAATTAAATTAAGTGACGAAAGACAATTGATTAAGGTTTTTAGTAGAATATTTTTCTTTAATGTGAGTGCAATGAAATGCTCACATTAAAGAAAAACATTAAATGCATTTATTAACTGCCACATTATGATAAAGATATGAATTAGAACAATTTTTTAGCCAAACAACTTATAAATATATTTAAATGTTTAAGGTTCATTTGTGAAAGCCACCCTCGAAGTGCTAGAACCAAAGACAGGTAGTACTGCCATGTTGAATGGCCACCATGCATCAGATAATCAGTATGGGGGCCCACAGTCAAAAACCCCTATTGCTACACTCTCAAACATGGGGAATACTTGTTTTCTCAATAGTGTCTTATATACATTGCGGTGCGTAACATTATATTTGCGAATTTTTATGTTAGACTTTTCTTGTCCATAAATATTGTAGTTGTTCAATACTTATTCACATTTTTTTACTATTTTTTATAAAATTACTGAAATTGAACCTTGCTACCTAAAAGTTCATTGATTAAAATAGTGTGTTCATTGCTTACCACCACTAAGGTATATTTTGCATTGGACAAAAGTAAAGTTAAATCAGTGAAAGCAACAGATTTACTCCTTTGATAAAGCAGTTTTATATATATATCTTACATCACAATTGTATACTTTGCAGATATGCCCCGCAGTTTGTTCACAACCTCCATCATTTAGTCTCAGATTTGGGAAGGGTAGAACAAAAGCTTGGTAGCATCAGGTTAAAAAGTTCTTCCCTGGGTAGAAGTGCAGCAGGAATCGCTTCTTCGGGAACAAGGTCATGGAGTAGCAAAGACTTACTTTCTTTGGGGCAGTCAGATAATAATTCAGCAAAAAGTAAAATTCAGGTAAATTTATACTTTTACTTCTAATGCGAGTAAAATCTTTAATTTATACTGAATATTGCATATACAACTTTATCATGGCAACTTCATTTTTATTACTCATATACATACATTATTACCATTTAGTATAAAATATAATAGTTCTTAGTACAAAATGTTTGCTATGCTTTTTGATGATTGATTATAAATAGGGATGCATCAATATGCCTTTACTGATATACTAGATACCAATGCCGATACTCTGATAGAAATATCGTCGCTACCGATACCAATGCTTATTGAATAAAAATGAAATTAAAGTAAAATATATCAAGTTTGGTTAAAGTTTTTAATTTTATTGAAAAATATAAACAGTCACAAAACTTTGAATAAATTAAGGGTTAAGTTATTAAAATTAAGAATTAAGAGTAATAATTCAATTAAAATAAAACAAATAACTGTTTAATTAATATTGATAAGATTTTGTAATTCTGTATTTTATTTAATTTGGTATCGAAAAAATACTACGCGCGAAATGGAATACGTGGGGTCAAAGCGGGTGAGAGAGACAAGAAACTGCATAAAACGCGGGGACTCCCCGAGCATAGATAGCCCGTGCCTCATTTGCAACGAACTAGATCAAACGAGATGCGCGTTTACATTACATTTTTAAAGCGTGATATTTGAAAAGTATCGTTATATCGGCAAACAAAATATCCCCGAAGCCGATATATCAGTATCGGTATCGGATGTATGTCTAATTATTAATATCTGGTACATAATTCAAGAATCAATGGTTTAATAACTGTTTATAATATACACATTATAGTGTACCCTGAGATTTCACCTGTGTCATTTCGGAGATAGCATGATGTTTTAATAAAACCTACAGATAGATCAAAATCCTGAGGTAGATTTGCCATGAACTAATATATTAAGATAAAGTGACATTTTTATCAGTTAATCTGGCTGTACTATATTGACTAGACTAAATTTATGTTAGAAGATAACAAAAATATTTTATATAAGTTTTGCATATATTTTGTGGCTGACCCAAAAATCAATGAATGATCATGTACTACAATTATTTACAACGAAACATAATATGCAGTATGTGTGTAGTGTGTCTGTGCATGACTTCATACAAACTGAATTAGAATTCTTGGAATTATGCAAATATTTTTTTTTCAAAATGTGCACAATTAATATACAAAAAATAATATGTACAATGTTGTAATAATCTGCAGGTGGTGACAGAGAAACTTCATGAGACATATGTAAACCTTCGAGCGGGAGAAAGCAAATGTATCAACAGTGGCTCTAATGATTCTAGTCCAGAGGCCTTTGCACCTGATGCTTTCTTATCTGCTTTGAGAGATGTTAACTCCACATTTGAAGGTATTGAAGGAAATATTTAAATAATGGCTTAAACATAAAATTAATTTATCTCATTTATTTGCAGTGTTTTGATTAAAAATTTGATAGATTTTATTTGTAATGAACACAGCCAACGGTAGCGTTCAAGTATTACGTAACGAATTGGGGGTTGAATCCTTTTGTAAAACGTTACGATGCGGGGCGGGGATTGAATTACGCGTTATTGTTAATATTATTTTCGACTTTCCACCACAATATAATGATAGCTTTTAGGTACTAGTCACGAAACGTTTTACTATACTTGGGTACAGAAAAATGTTACGGCGCGTTACATGGGGGGGGTCAATAATCTCTAAAAATTTCGTGACGTAATACTTGAACGCTCCCAACTACGTTTATGAATTACATTACATAGGGTTATACTTAAAAGTGTGTGTGTGTGTGTGTATTTTACCTAGTTCTTAAAAGAGAAATACAGACAGCAATAACTTTAAGAATTCTTAATTTATTTTTTTATTAGGTTTATGTTAACTAATAGTTTTTCCTTACTATTTTTAATCTATTTATTTACCGATGTAAAGTAAAATTTACATGTATCATTTCATATATATCATTATATTATTTCCTCAAAGAGTATAGATATCGATGGGAAATGTGGTACCACCTGCTACATGTCTCTGAAATCTGAATCATATCTATATTAGATATTATGTATCAAATGTTATAAATTATTGATAATCTATAATAATAGGGTTGAAGGACTCCTTTCTCCCAATTAGACTCGAGGTTGGTCCGTTGTGCGTACATCTATAATAATATAGAGTACACATTATTATTTTGTCTATTCTTCAGATCTCTGATAGGTATATGAAATCTCATAGATATAGTGTTTTAGTATTCATATATCATTAATTAATATTATAGGTAACAGACAACAAGATGCGCACGAGTTATTAGTGTGTATACTGGACAATATTCGTGAGACATGTCGCGCTTTGAGTGCGCGAGCGTCGCGGCTTCAGTTACAGGAGAATGGGGACAGGTAAGTAATTTAAATGTCTCAATAGTTTAAGGGAGCGTTCAAGTATTACGTAACGATGGGGGGGGGGAGTGTTTTCCCTTTTGTAAAACTTTACGATGCGGGGCGGGGATTGAATTAAGCCGTTATTGTTAATATTATTTTCGGCTTTCCAGTACTTTACAAAACATAATGGTAACTTTTAGGTATAAAGAGTTACGTAATAGTTGAACGCTCCCTAAGTTGAAATACAGATGTTGACAAAATTAATTTAAATGCATTTTGTAATACACACTTAGACTTCCTATGCATTATCCAAAATAAACGAAAAATAATCTCATTTCATTCAGATTTTCTGTATGTAACTCAATTTTACAGCAATGGCCTTGGTCGGGCCCAAAACATTGAAGATGGTGGAAAAACATTAGGCAATCTACGCAAGTCGTGGAAAAAACGCAAGGATGTGAAATTAAATGATAAACGGACTTCACCTACGGAGGAGCGGCCGCCTTCGCCCTCTGATCCTGAGAGAGATGAGAGGTCACAACCCGGGTGGGATTTTGTCGCGGAAAGTTTTGAAGGTGGGAAAAAATTATCTAAACGACTAACGATATATGTACATACTTTATATAAAAATTTCGAATCATTTCTACGACACAATTTTTATATTATATGTAATTTTGTATGATTATTATTATATATGATTTTGTATATATATATATATAGATTATATTTTTAAAAACGACGTCGAAGTGCGGTTCATGCGTTTCTTAAATTTGATACCTAATGTTCTTTGTCAATATGTATTATTAGATTAGAGTCTGGCTAATGAAAGAAGATAATTGAATTATTTAAAAACTTTCGGATGGCAACACAGAATGTCATTGAATTTCTTAGGTTAGTATGATTTATTGTCTTGATACTTCATGCAATTACTCATTTTCTATTTCTATTATCTAGCCTAAACTTTGTTTTATTTGATAGAATATTTCGTTTCTTTCGCAGGATTTGATTATTCTGAAAAAAGTTGTGTTTTATAATAAATATAGTTTTAGTTTTCCATGCAGTGCTAGTCATTTTAAGTATCAATAGTAAAAGACTAAATACGTATAGTATTTAATTTAGTAGAAATACAGTTACTATCAATGTAAAAAATAATAAAATAAAATCAAGTATCAAGTAAGTTTATTCCACAAAATATATCAAACTTTTAGGGATACCATACTATTTTTTTGTGAATATACCGCACTTTTTCGTTATGTTCTTTCAATAGCCAGACACTAAATAGAAAGTGTACATGACTTACTAAACGTGTATGAAGCAGTCAAAACCTTGCCAAGTTAACTTGACTTGTCAAGTGGACAAAAAGTATCTGAAGTGTTACAGACTGACTTTTTTATAAATTTCCAGGTACCATGGTAGTACGGACAATGTGCCTGGAATGTGAGACAGTGACGGAGAAGGCTCAGGCAGTGTGTGAGCTTTGTGTTCCAGTTGGTGAAGACGATTCTGCCGATGAGCCCTTCCGCGCCGCTTGTCTTTCCAGCGAATATTTACGCGATCAGAATAAGGTATAAATAATTATAATATAGTATAACTAGCTGCCCTCCTCTGAAATGAAAAAATGTGATTTTACTTAGCCTACCTTTTTAGTACATACCAACATGGAACATTTTGCTATGCTACCCGAGAGACTGTTCGGTTTTCTGGAATGAAAACTTTTAGGTTTTCCTGTAAAATTTTCTCTATATAAACCTCAGAGTTCAAGTCATAAGATTTTCATTAGCAAATAAAAAATAGGGGTTGATCGTAGAGGGGTGAAAATTAAGGGTTGTATGTATTTTTGCATGCAGTATCATAAAAAATAAAAACAAAAAAATATCTAAAAAATAAAAATTTACAGAAATAAATAAAAACCCTTAACAATTAGGGGTTTGAAAGATAGATAGTAGCCGATTCGCAGATTTGCTGAATATGCATATGTATGGGAACGAACATAGTGACACGAGAATTTTATATATACATATATAGAGATATAAATATTTATTTATTACGTGATCCTACAGCTAACATAAATTGTAGCCAAAGATAAAATACATGATATATACAAATGGATCAAACAAGGAAGACATCAATACGTAATACCTAAATCGGCTGTTGTGTGAGAAACTATTAATAATATGATATATGATAATATTAATAATAATAAATTGTAGAAACTTTTCGACAAAGGGTTGTGATAAAATTCATATTTATCGCTTGTCTCCACACTAGGCAGTCCCTGTGTTGTGGGCAACTAGAAAACAATTATTCCATGGTACATGTTTAAAACGTTTTTTTAAAGTAAATTTTAGTATTACAACTATGTCCTAATACATTAAGTATGAGTGTATGGGTGTGTATGCGCATGTATGTATTTGAGAGTGCTCTCTCAGCTAGAGTTGTTATGATATGATATAGGTTAATTAGTCCTATGAATATTCGTAATACTTTTCTTAAGCTTATTCCGCAATAGCTTAAACAAGTCCAGGCTTAAATAGCAGTCGTTGTAAGTCCGGGTTGCGCGATATTTGTATCGAGTTTTTTCATAGTTGGTATAGATGTGAAACAAAGCACAATTAAGAATCTGATAGGCTCCTGCCTATCGGACTCGTACTCCTACTTGGAAGTGCAATTTTTTTAGAAGCGAGCTGCAATTAATTTTATTTGTGATGATATCATGTAGTAGCATTACATCATATTGTTTTATTCGAGAGTCCAAAGTATCAATTTTAAAATGTTTAGACTCGTCTATATTGGTATTACATTTATTTAAGGACTTATCAGAGATGAATTTTATAAAGTTTTGAATCTTGTCAATTGCTTTTTGTGTACTGTGTAACGAGGTGACCAAACCGAGCAACCATACTTAAGACTTCTTACATAATATGTATAGTATAGCACTTTCATACAGTTGACATCATGAAAATGTTCACTGATACATGTTTTGAATACAAGCTGCTTATAGGCTTTGTTAACTATTGTGTCAATTGGGTCATTATACGTTATTTTAAAGTCTAGCCTTATACCTAAGTCACAAATACTACTTCTTTAACGGATTTGTTATTAAAGACGATAGATGAAAAACATAACATATCTTTTAACGTTATTGTTAATACAAATGTTTTATTTTTCATTAACTGTTTTCGTTAAAAAAATAGATAGAGCAGAAATATTCCATAGATGATGTCAAATTTCCAAAATTTTTCTCCAGTACTGGTGCGAGCGTTGCCTTCGCTACAATGAAGCCAGACGAAGTGTGGCCTACTCACGTCTTCCGAGACTCTTAGTTCTCCAGCTGAAGCGCTTTAGCGGTGGTATGGAGAAGATCACCCGGTATGCCCCCACCCCGCTGTTGATGCCGTGTTTTTGCGAGCCCTGCTCTAAACGACCGCAAGAAAATTCTCCTACGCATAGGTATAGATAATTTAAACTTAACATCTAACTCATCTAATTTCTGTAAAAAAGTTTTACACATGAACTTTAGGTAGAAAACCCTAAAAATAACAACCATAGCCTTATTTTAGGATTTATATTCTATTAAAAAAAATACTTACATTCTAATTTATGTTTACTAACATAAACTTTAAAACATTTGCTTATTTAAAGTAGTTTTTCTTATTTAAAGCTATTAAAAAATACAATCTTATACTTGGGGTCTTTTAATAACAGAACCTAGAACCTACATTAGTGTAAATCATATAATTTCCTCACATTATATAGGGTAATACTAATAGCTATACTTATTTGCAACCTTTTAGGTATGTCCTATGGGGGGTGATAATGCACTTTGGGCAAACATTAACTGGTGGACACTATGTCGCATACACACGAGACAACTCCCAAGGAGATCTCAAATGTGACAGAGAGACTGATAACACTACAACTAACACGGGAAGCAGCTTCATGAGGACACTCTTTAGCAGACCCAGGAACCAACAAACTGGTTGTACGGCAAAAGAATGCTGTGTCCCAAGACAGAGGCCGGAGATTGGGTGGCTTTCCTGTGATGATGATGTGGTGAAACCAATCTCGAATGAGGAGTTTGAAGATCTGCTTTCGCCGGAACCCAAAACAGGGTCAGGGTCTACACCATACCTTCTGTTCTATGTGAAAAGTGAAGTGGGCTAGTACCAGTGTGTGTTGATGGAAATGATAGAAAACACCCTTTATTATGTAGCATGTTAAGACTGTCCATATATGAGTAATCAATCACAATAAATTGTGATTTCTAAATAATTTTCAGTTTTTTCATGTTGCATTATTAAATACCAGCGAATTCTGCATTATGGAAAGGCAAACATAGTTATCGACTATTTAATGGCCTGTCTTAATAAAAATGCTTATGTAATATACACATAATTTTAAAAAAGATAACTTTTTTAATAAATACCGATCTATTTATATGAATAAGGGGTGTTATTAAAATATCTAATTGTGGTTTTAATTAGAAAATATAATTGCTTAAAAGACAGATGCAGGTTGTATCAACGTGATATTACTAACTTGATTTGTTTAAAAAAACAAAGGTGATTTCACTGTATTCTACTGACAATACTTGAAATTGTTACCTATATAAAATGTATCTTATTGTATATTCAGATAAATGGCGATATAAAAATATAGTTACACTGTTCTATAAAATGGCCTAAACTTGTATTTGGTATGCAATTATGTATAGAATATTATGTATATATCAGAAACTTTTAGCAAAGACAATGTATATGAAACTTACAGTTCAAAAATAGAACAATATGAATTTGCAGTATTACCACAGATATATAAAGTGCACTTTAAAGAAAATATATTTATATATTAGAAGAAAAATGATAAAAATTCCTTAAAATCTTGTCAGTGTGAGACCATATTTCTTTTTCCAAATAAATTTCATATTCTGGTGTATGTCACATTCCCTCCTATATAAATTAAATATGCAGCAATCAATAAGATTGTCAACCCGAAATAGACAGTACATTCATAATGTGACAAATTACTAACTAATACTTCAATCATATAAATACTAAAATAAGACAAACATTTACATTTATAAAAAATGGTTGAACAGTTAATGTGGAAGTTTTGAGTCTACACATTATTAGATGTTTAGTATGTGTAGGTTTGATTTAGCTGGGAATACTATAGCTAATTATAGCAACACTTCTTTTCAGTAATAATTTCTACCCAATAACTGATTTGAAATAATATATATGACAAAACATGTCAATTTTATTATATTATAAAAATCATACAGCTCATACATTAAAAGTTGTATTCCTAGCTACAATAAGTTGCTTGCTTTCTAATAGCTATAATGATATTTTTATTCATAACAAAACAAATTTGTCTTATTCACAAAACTATTTTTCTACTTGGTATGTATGTATCTCTGGTACCCTTTGTAATAGCCATTTCTAATATGTTAATAGACATAAATATTGACCAATTCTATTATAAATGTGTTAAAAGTATAGATTTATTTTCACATGCTAGAAAGGACATTTTTTTCAGCCTCAGTTAAACCCAGTGTGTAAGCTTTAAACTTAGCAGCTATTTTTATAATGTAAATACACTTTATTTTTTCAATAGAAATAAATAATAGGGCTTCTCTTTGCTGAATTTAATACAGTAGAAGAATTTATTATTAAGACCTAATATAGGTTATTAGTCAATTTAAAAATTATGAATTTTGTGGTACCCGGTATTTGAATCCTAAACCAAGTGTATTTTTTATTTTGTACTTTTTACTTATGCTGTTTACTTCTTTCCATTTTGTGTAATTACTTTAATAAGTTTTATATATGCACTATAATTTTTAGATATTAAATTTGTAACGCCTTGCTCCAGTATATTAAGCATGCTGTATATTTTTTTAAATGCCATTCCAAAACCTTTAAAAGGTTAAATTCTTGTCAGTAGTTTATAATGATCTTAATTTACTAATAGTTATGTGAAAATATTATTTGATTGTAAATTTAATAAAATTATTTTAAATGCTTCTTGTTTTGTATATACCTATAATAAATACAAATGACGTCACCAAAGATATCTTTTTATCAATATGATAGTGTTATATCTCCTCTATCATTTACAAAAATTTTATCAGGATAGATGTAACAGTTGATACATATTAGTAGAGTGAAATAAATATGTTAAGTGTTAGTTGAAATCATTTAAAGTTACTATTTTATTGAAGTGCCAAATACATTTAATTGTAATAAATAATAGCATTTGCTAACACCACAGGATTTGTTAAAGATCACGTTTTAATGCATTGGTTAGCAGCAACCTGCAGTAACAATTCAAATGTAGGTTCAAAAGGGTTAAGTTTATTGACAGTGTAAGATAAGGTAATCGCGCGCCGATACCACAAACTTGAACTAAACCTGTCAGAGACATAGAACTAGTACAGTTGAATGTTGTGTTCAAGATAAATATTTAAAAAAATGAAAGCTGTCGTCCGCACTGGAAAACTTAAAGTAAGTACCTAACCATTTAGTGCTTAACTAGATATATATAAATATGTATTATCATTTCTATATACAATTTCAGCTATAATATTAAATATAAATTTAAAAACCAAACAAACAATACAAGTTATTAAACATTGTTCAGTTAATGGTCAAATTTGATACTTTTATAAACTAAAGATATTTAGTACTTGTCAAAATCAGCTGTTGTTTTTATGAAAATCATAGCTTATAAATATTTTTCTGTAGTCAAAATATCAAAACTATTCATCTTCTTTTTAACTAAATTGGCGGATTAAAATGTAAAGTATAAGTTTCACATTTATCAAATTTAATACGTTTGTATAAATAACATTTGTTTCGATGCATTTTTAATGTTAATCAATGTCGCTAGCACATAAAAGTTTATTATAACTGTGACATTGCAATGACCTCTGAATTGCATTAGTTACTTGCTAGTTGCTGTCAAAGTATTCCAAGAAATCGGTTATCAGAATTCAGAAATCAGAATCTTTATAAAACAACCGTACATCACTGACGTGTTTTTTTTCAATATTTAGTAAAAATTAGTTACTTGAAGTTATAACAATGGCACTTGTAAGTATCTAAACACCATTATTTTTAATAAAATCTCTGTTTTCGTAATTGATGTGCACAAGATTGAAGACAATTAATAACAGCATTTACCGGTAATGCCAGTGTAGTGTTTTATGGCAAAATATTAAAATATATACATGATAAAATGTACAGATATTTTTCGACAAAATCAATTTTAGTCGGATTCAATTAGGGTACTCATGTAGATGTCGTTTATTGTATCTAATATTATAAGCGCCATTGTGTGTTGTCAGCTGATTTATTAAAAATTACACGATTTAATTTATAACCTCTTAATTCAAGTCTTGAGTTTTATTGCTGAATTTATTATTTAAGAACTTTAAGTATTATGTGTTATAGTTTTTAATGACACTTCCGCTGTGTGACGTAATAATGTAATGTACCTACCTAACCTACTACCTGAGTAGATGTGTATGCCGTATGAAGATAGTTCCATAGTTCTATATATTATATACATACAAATATTGATTTGTGGAATATAATTCAGTTAATAATATTATTATTCCAGTATTATAATTCAGTTTGTTAATAAAATGGAGGCTAGTGCAATAAATGTTAAGCAGTAAACAAAAGCTTTGAATGATTTCTAACTTCACTTAAGTAGATAGTCAATAAAACTATCATTGATTTATTTGACACTTTTATGCGTAACAAAATCATTACAATTGGAACACTTCAATAATTATGGTTGGCGACGGGTGGCATTATCGCTTTCGAGCGATCTATTCAAGCCAACCACTAGGGATGTGAAAAAATAATCGATTATTAAAAAAATCGATTTTAATCGATTTTTTAAAAGTAAAAATCGATTTTTTACGCGATTTTTATATTTAAAATAATCGATTATTTTTATAATTGAAAATCAATCATAATCGATTTTTTATCTGCCACCTTCCGACATTATGTCTGGTCTTCTATAACCCGGACCTCGAACTATTAGGGATATTCGATACACAACGATGTTTACAATGCGAGACATTGAATCCGATTCTTTGAAGATGTATTGATATACTCGATACATTGATGTTTTTTTGTAAAACATCAAAAGGATGATAGAAGCAGTTAATTTAAAAAAAACTCAAGTTTGAATGGAACCCTATAATTTAAAAGTAAAATAAATTTATTCAGCAGCACAAGACTACATACAATTAAAAAGACAACAAAAATACTGCAATGTGCTACTGAAAAGGAATACACTCAGCATTTATCAAAATCTATCAAAACGAGATTAAGTTAATTTCGATTTTGGTTATTCTTAAACGTTAATTTGTGTTTATAATTTCTATTGTTTATTTTTAATTTAAAAAAACCGTGAAAAATAAAATATTTAGGGTGTTTATTTTGAAATTAATTCAAAAATTATGAAAAAATCGATTAATAAAAAAAACGATTATTTTTTTAAGAAAAATCGATTATTTATTAATCGATTATTCATGCTAAAAAAATAATCGATTAATAAAAAATCGTTCTTTTTTTTTAATGCAAAATGTCACATCCCTACCAACCACTGTAAGGAAAAATTATATGTGGTAAGCCCAAGAAGTGCTGAGTGCAATACTACAAATGATAGACAATGGTTATATTATATAGTATAGGCTAGTACATAAGAAGTATTATTGGGGTTTATGAGATTTTATCATATTCGCTGATATTAAATGAATCAGTGCGGGTAAAGAACACATAATATGTTTTTATATACATAAACTTTTTTTTAAAATTTGCAATACAAAACTTTACAGAAAAATACATGCAAAAACAATTAAACAAATACTTACGTAATTTGACCAAAAGGTTTTATATCTATGCTAGGAAAATATGAGAAATTAACATTATTTTATATGCGTTGCTATTGACAACGAAACCGAAAGCTAATTAATTTGACAATTAAGTTTTAATACTCAATAGCGAATTGAAAAATAAAATAATATTTTTGTAAACTTAACAATGGTAACTACTTAAATATTATTTAATATCGGTGAAGATTTAAAAAAATACTGCATTATATTAATATTTACAATTTATTATTAAATTAAATATCGATCAGGTGCTACTTCTATAATGGTTTTGGCAAAATTACATCTCGTTTTGGCACCACTTCAAAAGTTTATATTTAAACACAAAACTCCCAGTTAAAATAAGTTAAAAATATTAACTTACAATGAACAATACTATGAAAAGCCATTCTAAGAAGTGTACCCCACTGTAGGCAAGGGGTTGCGATTTAAAAAGGGAAAATTTAAACGAGTTTGCGCAAATATATGTACTGACGACACATTGATGCGCGCGCCGACTACCGCGATTCGATGCTCAATACGCAAGTCTGTATTTCAAAGTGGCCGAGAGAAGTTTTCTACGCTAAAGGGCAGTTCAAGATCATATACACAGCCGATTCAACCTCTTGCTGAATTTCAGAAAAGTGTTTTCCATAATAGTAGTGTAAAAATGGTTTGGTGCACTGTTTACGATGGAAAAACGGAGGTATTAAAACGTAGATCTATTTTTGCGTTGTATTAATGATCTTATGGTTTATATTAACATGCTGTGTACAGATTGGGTCTTAAAATTTTTAATACTGAGCCTAAATAGTACATTTAGGCAACATGGTTCGTCAATTCATATGCAAAATTATTAAAAAATTCTTAATATGTTTTGAAAATGGAGTAATTTAATATGAATGAAAGTCAAATTTAATAACTATAATTATAAAATACCGACAAGTTACTGTATTGTATACAATCTGATGCATTTAGAACCTGTTAATGATTTCAAGGTTAATATTGTATAGCACCGGCTCATATTTCAAGTACTGGATCAGTAATGTGCACTGTTTACAATCGCCATTTCAGTGTGGAATGTTACTAGGTATAATAATAATAAAGTTTTAATTTAGTCAATGAAATTTATCAGTCATATTAGTTATATAGTTACACTTTTTAAAGTAATATGGATATTCATAGTACTTTCCTCTTGCAGACTGGGTCTGGTGAGAAGTCAAGCATGCAGCTGGCAGCCTCTGATGCGATGTCCCACCTTCAACACATGTGCAGCTTAGACGTTGACTCCAAGGCTTCATATGTTCGCCTGTCTGGCATCATTTGTACTATCGGTCAGTTTACAATTGTGGTCAATTCAATTATTATTGTAACAACATAAAATTTATAAGCAAAAATTTTAAAAATAGGATTGAATGCTTATAATTTTACAACACAATTAAATTTGAATTAAGACACATTGACAAGTGTATTTAATGTATCTTCATAAATTCTAATTACTTGCAAAAGTAATTTTCAAATGAAAGATTAGCATTTTAAAAAACAGTACTTGTCCCTTTCTGTGGAAATTTGTTTGTGAAATCAGTACTTAACTCAAAACATTTTTATAAATGACTAGATGACCCAGTATTGTATCACCTAGGTACATATATTTTTGTCAAAACCTAATACAAAATTTTAAAACAGGCCAACTAGATTGACCTCAGCTATGGAACACATATTTCTGAAGGCATCTATAAATCTATGACAACCAAGTGACAATTTTTTTTCAAAATACATCAAATATTTCCCAGCTATTAGAACAGTTTTATTGAAAAATTCAATGGTCGTTTTTGACATTTAATAATTTTTTATGTTTCCCACCTTTATACATTCCCTAAGCTTTCACAAATATTTCAAGATCATAATTAGCCAAATCGGTCCAGCCATTCTCGAGTATTAGCGACACAAACAAACAGCAATTCATTTTTATATAGATATGGTTATATTTTTATTTTTTAGGGCCGGCTTCCCGAAGCGTTGAAATGTTAGAGAAGATGATGGAGACAGGTATGAATGTGGCCCGTATGAACTTCTCTCATGGCTCTCATGAGTACCACGCTGAGACAATTGCAAACTGCCGTGAGGCTGAGAAGAATTACAGCAAGAAACTCGGAGTGCCATTCTCTCTAGCTATTGCTCTTGACACTAAGGGCCCCGAGATCAGAACTGGACTTTTAGAGGGTGTAAGTAGACTTATTACTAACTGGATGACATTCACCTAAACATTATTAAACTTCTGCAACTATTATTTCTTACCAACAGTGTAATATCAGTTTAATCTGCTTTAATTTAACATGACAATTCATCTTATAGTTTTGCTGTATTGTTTTATTTATTGAGAAAATACCACAAAATATGTTATCGTGACTCTTGAGACGTGAGGCATTACCTACTTGCCTAAAGAAACATGGTCAATGCAAACAGATATCAAAATTTATCTGGCCCATGCCCAATATTGGGGAGTTATGGGACGTGCATTAATTTGTGAAAATTATCAATGGTAGTTTGTGAAAGAAATTTTGAATCATCAAGGTTAATTATTTATACTTCATATACAGGGTGGTTCAGCGGAAGTGGAATTGAAGAAGGGTGAAACAATCAAGCTGACAACTGACCCCGCGTACCAAGAGCGCGGTACCGCAGCTGTAGTTTTTGTCGACTACAAGAACATCACTAACGTAGTGAAGCCCGGAAACAGGATATTTATCGATGACGGGCTCATTTCTGTCATCTGTCAATCGTCGACAGCTGACACTTTGGTGTGCAACATTGAGAATGGAGGTGAGAACTCTATATTTTTTATCTGGCGACAAGTTTATTTTAAATTGACGTAAAATACTCATTTTCTTAGTTTAGATCACAATACGTGACTTTTCAAATGGAGATTGCTGAGAAATAGTCTTTGATTCAAAATGTATTTAGGAAATAATTTTTTCTACGTCACCAAACTACACCTATGTCATCAAAGATAGATAGGATATCTGTATCAGAGTCTTTTAAAATCGATTGGTGGTCGTTATAGATAAAAGAAAACCAACGATATTTTTGTATAGAATTCTTTCGAACCTATATCCATCGGCGTATTTGGAACTAAACGGTTGGTAAATGAAATCCGTATAGTTAACACAAATTGTATGTAAATTCATTATCAGCTGTCAAAAATTGAAATTATTATATTATACAAATACAGATCTTAATGTTCGTAAAGCGATGGATATACCTCGACCATTGCTGCCACAGTATGCGGCAAAAATGCCCGTACAGACAAACACAAATTAAGCCTTTTTTCCAGTAGTGTAACTAGTTGTTATATCTTTTTCTATAACTATAACAGGTACGCTCGGATCAAGGAAGGGTGTGAATTTGCCTGGTTTGCCCGTTGACTTGCCAGCGGTGTCAGAAAAAGACAAGTCTGACTTGATCTTTGGTGTGGAACAAAACGTAAGTATACATTGAATGCCGTATCAAATGATATTTGGTTATCATAATTTATTTATAATTAGGTAAAGTACGTTTTAGGGAGTTCAAATAATACGTAACGAATTTTATCCTTTTGTAAAACGTTACGATGCGGGGCGGGGATTGAATTATGCATTATTGTTAATATTATTTTAGACTTTTCAGTACTTAGTACTTTACATCACATAATGGTAACTTTTAGGTACTAGGTGACACTGTGAGTCATTAGGTGGTCACGAAACGTTTTACTATTGGGTACAGAAAAACGTTACGGTGCGTTACATGGGGGGTCAATAATCTCCGAAAATTGCGTGACGTAATACTTGAACGCTCCCTTATTTCTGTTAAAATATTAAACTGTTGACTGCGCCTTACACATGCCTTGAACTTTAAAATAACGAGTATATATGCCTTGTTTATCCCTAACGAATGGAATTTCCTCTTAGTGTTCATTTAAGATGTTAATAAATCAACACTACTTGTATTATTAAATATTAGTTGCGGCTTCGTTGGATATTTATTTTAAAAATTATTTTGGGAATAAATTTTCCTATGTTGCTTGCTTTAAAGGATATCATCGAAGGTTCAAAGAGTTATTTAAACCTCGTTAGTATTTATTGAGAATTAATTCGTTGCCGAAGAAGGGTGTTCGGCTTGTATTTTTTTAATGTCAGTCTAGATAGCAAATGCAATACGATATTTATAAACATATAAAGATAAAAAACTTTAATAAATTTAGATAGCACAGATAAAAACTGAACTACAAATGATATAATAGATAAAAAAGGAATCAACTTTTGTTACACATGCTCTATTGTATCTGTGATAGTTCAAATTCTATCCGTCATTTGACCTTTGGATCTGACTTTTGCCGTTGATATCCATAGAGCTATTTATATTATTGTGTGGTGAAATGAAGCACTGTGATGGTTGCATGGAGCAATAGTGTTTCCCAACATTTTGTGCTCCACCTTAGCCGTTCTAAAATTCTTATGCATTGAGATTATTGCATAGGCTGTAAACAGGAATAAATTTAAAGTTAAGTTTGGAAATGGAAGTTGGCAATTAATCAATTATAATTACAGGTGGATATGATCTTCGCTTCGTTCATCCGTAACGGAGCAGCTCTGCAAGAGATCCGCGGCATCCTTGGAGAGAAAGGGAAGAACATCAAAATCATCTCCAAGATCGAAAACCACCAGGGAATGATCAACCTTGATCAGATTATTGCCGTAAGTAACTCACTCGGATTATTTCTTCAAATTAATTAATTCTGATGTCATGTGGAACATGGTGTAATGGTTGCAGCTCCTTACACACGTTGTGTAAAACAATAAATTTTGGAGATGAAAGAGTGGCATAGAGTTTATTGCCAGTTCTTCTCTTCCGTTCTACGCCCTTGATTTGAGAACTGGCAGTAAATGTAAAATAAGAAGCATTTAATGTATATTTCTCTTTTGACGTTCATAAGTGTACATTGTGTTACCTACATGAATAAATTATCTTTGACTTTTGATTTTTACCAAGCTTTTCACATTAATACGATTAATATAGCTCCGCTTACTGCTGTTGAATTAATGAGTAGAGGAAATTGTTAAAAAATATTGAATGTCGGTATAAAAACCTGTTGTTGTACTGTTTTATTAAAACTATCATACCTATTAATTGACAACTTATATAGCTCAAACTTGTAAAGGATTTTCTTCTAGGTCTTTAACTATTACTGGAAGCTACGAAATTAAAGATAATAGTATAAAAATAGTTCTTGAATTAATAATCTAGGTAGGAAAAATCTGAAACTTTTGCGTGCCTATAAAGACGATTTATTTGACGGGAACTATCAAGAAAATGTGTTGCGTGTCTAATTCACACTCTTTATTATTTTTTGCGAGTACCAGCCAGTGTAATTTTTATTATGTTAGGTCACGATTGCCGACAATTTGATTGTGACCAATATTCACAAATTAGTTTGAACTTTCAACCTTTTAGCCGGTTGTTACTGGTTTTTCTGAGTTCTAATCCAGAAATAATAAACGTTTTATGAGCGGACGTAATTAGAATTTATTCAGTCATTCTATTTGATGTATGATTTGAATGTGATCTTATAAAATATGTTACCTTCCTCGTGATTATTGCAGGCAGAATTTGATGTTCTTTTTGAAGTTATACTTCTTTAGGAGAAATTTAAGAGAGTGAAATTTTACGATGCGCGCGCACCGTGACACAAAATTAACAGAATGAAGTTGCCCACGGCATTGGAAATATTTATTTATTTAATTTTTCAAATGTAAACTGAACTTTATTGACTATAATGACTCCTTTTCCAGTCTTTGATTATTTAATTGTAATTAATTATTTGCATGGACTCGCGTGACGGTTGCTCGCGGCGCAACTACCTACATAGGCTCCGTGCTGTCTTTCTTTTAAAAAAATACTACTTGTGATCAATGCGACTTTAATAAGTGTAAAAACGTCTAATAATACTACAAAGTAATAGATAAATGTATAGTCAGTGCTCAAGAGAACGAAACACATCAGGTTTTTAAAGTGTTTTAACGAGGCTTCAACTGACGTGCCACGCTTTCAACAATCAAACGGATTCATGACACTGTTGCATTTTTGTGAGGTTGTGACGTCTAGTGCTAAAAGTGACTAAAGTGTCTTCTGAAAAATCTTAGTGCAAAACGAAATACAAATATTAAACAGACATTAGTCATCCATATGAACTGGTTACAAAATTATCTACTATACCAAACATTGGTTCAGTTCATCATAATCTCAGATAGCCACTTATATAAGGGTATCGACTAAGGGTGAGATCTATAGTGCGCACTTAGACTTTGCTCTGACTTAACTATCGAGCTAAGACACAGTCGGTATTTATAGAGCAAACTGCGAATCTCTCCCTAGTGTTGGCTTAGCTTAATCTCAAGTCCACGAAATCGACGACTTACCAAAAACTTTGACTATAAGCCTAACAAAAATAATGGCCCAAAATTTGCTTTACCATCATATCTTTTACTGGACTTTTTATTTTTGTCGGTTTTTAATGAACGGTGTTGCCATTTTGTATCGGAGTTCCATAGACTTTGGGAAAAATAGAATTTGAATTCAAAGAAATTATAAATGATCTTGATAAATACCTATGAAATGCATGAAATAAAATAATTACACATTATTATGGTATTTATTGTTGTTTATTTATATTATTTATGTAATTGTTCAAACCCCATTTTTGAGAAATCTTAAAAATAACTTGTGGTATTTTGTATGTCACCTGGCAGCCCTGGCATATTATAGTGACAACGAAATTCAAACTATAACCTAACCGATGTCTCTCGCTTCACATCTGTTATTTTCGTTTCCCTGAATCTTCTACCATTTATTACCTGACTACCCTAAAAAATTTGAGATAGGAGTGGAACATATGAAATTAAAAAATCTGTTAGAAATAGAATTTCTTCAACAAAAATATAAATTAGTATTAGAAATATGTATTACACTTAAAAAAAGAATCAGAAAATAAATGATTAAAATGAAACAAGTTTTGTTTTGATATTCTTTATTACCAAACAAATTACCTAGTTAAATTGTGCAATCACAGATTGCCGGAATGCTAGACCTGTAGGAGATCTTTCATTGTTTCTGTGTTACTCAACTTCTGCCGTCAGCAAGATCACCATCATCATAAGCATCGCCTCTCTGTATACCTATATTATGCAATACAGCACAAGCTATAATTATATATAACTAGTATTTGTCAATTTTGACTGTAGTCCTAGCTGTAAACATGGAAATTTCCTTTTTCACACTCCGAAAAACCTTTAAAAAATATGCCTAGTCCTTATTTGAGAATAATTATAAATATTGTCAGCTCTTGTCATTGGATTTAAAAGTGTTGTTAACATGAAATTAAATGCTGGATAACGTCTGTCACCTACTAAAACAGGCATTTTCTAAATATCCTGCTGTCGTGTGAACTGCCAGGCCACCTAGTCACTATAGCAAATATTTCCATATCAGGCCCTATTATTGCTTGCACATTTACAGAAAAATACCCTTTTTTATTTCTGTATGCTTCAGAGTGAGCGATACCTTTGGGTCTATTAATTTTTATATGGGTGCAGTCAATAGCTCCGATTATACTGTTTAGGCCATGGTGAGTATTAGATCTTCCTAATTCTTCAAACTTCGTTTTGGCTGTGTTCATATTTCTTGGAAAATTTACAAATCTAGGAAGTAATTTACTCAACTCTGCAGAGACTTTATTTATAATTTAACAGACTGTAGATTGGCTTATGCTGTTCAGATCACCACACACCATCTGTAATGTCAATAAAGTATTATTAGTCACATATATGTTGTTTCTGAAAGTCAGAAGACAAAAGTCTTCAACATATGTACTGTTTAAAATCATTTGAGAAGAGGTATAATATATCAAATTGAAAAACCATACATATTTATGAACACAATATTACCTGAAAACATCCAGTTGCATTTTTATGCCTTAATGCAATAAGTATTTGCAATTGCGGTAGGTTTGGCGATCCTCTGTTGTTATAAGGTTGCAAGTTTGTAATGATCAGCGTCAGGATCACATTTAATACCGTGTGTTTCAAAATACGGTTCCTTCTTTTGAATTCATTCTCACCGTACAGGATGGAAGGATTTTGGTTTTATTAGTTCCGAACATATACAACACTTTAGGCATTCGTGGATTCATATCGGCTGCAGTTCCTACCCTTTCAATGTTTTCTATTGAAGATAGAATTCTCTCTCTCCATCATGTCACTTTCGATATTGATATTTCCAAGCGCTCCATGTAACAAAGCCAAATCACAAAACGTCACAGTGCTTCGGGAATGCGTAGGTCTTAAGTAGGTATACGATCCAGATTGGTCCAGGTCCAAGTCACAAAGCCAGTCGTTGTTTTGAAGAAAGATCAATTTAATAAATTAAAGTGGTTTAAAATTTTCAATTGTTGATAGTTGATACAAGTGCTCTGTTGCTGTTGTCAAAACATTGCGATCCGTTCTACGTAATAAAATTATTGTCATCATTAAATAATTAATACATTTTCTAAAGGTTACTCGTGAATTTCTAGTTATTGCAATAATAAAATAAATGAATACATAAATAACAATAAATTGAAGATATATGTGTACCGTTTTAGATTTTTAAATATTTGTTATTGTTAACTTTTTTAAAGGATAATAAACAAAGTATTGCATGAAATGAAACATCAATTTGTATTTTGACATTTTCTGTCTTAGCTTGGGCTTAGCTTAATCTCACCGTTAAAATGTCTATAAATACGAAATCATAGTTTAACCTTAGTGTACACTAAGCAAAGTTTTTCGTAAGGTAAGTCTGAGCAAAGTCCAAGTGCGCACTATAGATCTCACCCTAAGTGATAAGCGGTCCAAGTTCGAATAATCTGACTTACACTATTTATGGATTTTATTTGCTCCTGCAAAACAAATATTGTAAGACAAATACGTCAAAACGCCCCCATCTAGTAAAATTTCTAGAATTAGGAAAATATAAATTTATCGATAATAATTTTAACTTCGTTGAAAAATTCATATTTCTTCGGATAGAGGGCACTGATACACTATGGAAGAAATTCATCAAATGTTACTGAACTTACAGCAAGACATCAAACAACAAAAACAAGATATGTTGGACATGAAAGAGGATTTAAAAAACATAATAATTAACAACATTCACGAGAAATTTGCAAACCTTGAATTGAAAAACGAACAATTAGAAAAAACTATTGAAGAACAAAAATTCAAATTAAATAACTTAGAAAAGCATTCACGACGAAAGAACCTAGTCATGTTCGGAGTAGAAGAGAGTGAGAATACTTATTTTGAATTAGAGAATATTATAGTAAATATAATAAACATGTTCTTTGAATTTCAATGTGACAAAAATAACATCGAACTTGTCAGAAGGTTGGGAAAGAAAGGTGATAACATAAGACCGGTTGTTATAACGTTTAACAGCATGAGTTACAAGTTACATATTCTGAAAAACAAGTACTGTCTAGAAAATACTCAGTACTACATTAAGGAGGATTATCCGATTCAAGTCCTTAACAGGCGGAAGGAACTCCAAGTCCAGTTACAGAAAGAAAAGGAGAAAGGCCATACTGCTTTTATAAGATACGACAAACTTATAGTATTAAAAGGCACATTTGAAAAAGAGAACCCCACCAAGAAGGTACTAAACTAGAAAACAACTACAGCCAAAAACAGAGGAAGAATGGATAATGGGAAACAAATCTTTTTTGAGAGGAGACCAATTGGAGATTAAAAAACTGCAGGATAACCAGCGCGAAAAAAGGAAGAGAGATAAAACTGTATCTCCCAACTTGTCTACACAGAAAAAACAGAACACATCTAACAAGTTTGAAAACACATCGACTAAAACTAACTATGCAGGACAAAAAGAAATATTACAACCAAACATACTACAATATATAGGAAGAGATAGATCGTTTTCGACCTCCAACATTTCAAAAAACTAACAAACACACGCGAGCAACCTATCAAAACAAAAACAACAACAACTAAAACCGGAAAAGCAAAATAAATATGGAAGAAACACATTCTAAAACAACCTAATCAAGAAGCCTTCCCACCACGGTTGGTCGCCGCGGGAAGATCAGACCACCACCCTCTAACAAAAAACCATAATATATATATAGCATCCCTCAATATTAGGACTTTAAGAATTCCTGAATCACTAAAAAGAGTCGCAAAAGATAGTAAACAGTGGAAAGGGTTAGAGGAGGCCTTTGCCAAGAGGCACACCGAACTCCGAAATATACTGGAGTGAAAATATATTAAAGTTCAGATATATAAAATGACAGAGTTTCGGAATTTAAAGGCTATATTATTATTATTATTATTATTATAATTATTTGCATGCAATCAAAAACCATTTTTAATAATGCTAAAGAAGTATAACTTCTTACGCGCGTACATAAGTACACGCACCCATTTTTTTACTTGTCAGGCGTTTTCCTGCACCTTGGTAGGTGAAGGTGGTCTGCCTTAAAAATGCCTATTTATCTTAAATAGATCCTGAAAAACGACGCATGGGTAATGTGAGCCGTCAATATTTTCTTTAAAAAGGGCAATGAACAAGAAATGCGTCTACTTTATGCCTGATTATTTTTATACGGGATTTTATACATTACGATCACATAATATCAAAATATTGGTACTTTCAGATTTCCTTATTAATAATATTATTTTCAGGAATCAGACGGTATCATGGTGGCCCGTGGTGACCTTGGAATTGAAATCCCACCAGAAAAGGTATTCCTTGCCCAGAAGACAATGATCGCGAGATGTAACAAGGTAAATTTTGCTTATGTTTTTGAAATTATTAATTGGGTCATAAGGTTATCAGGGTTATCATAGCTTGAATGTCATATGTAGGACCACACGAAGGCAATTAAGAAAAATAGTTTAGTTATACATCATAATACGCGTGATTATCAACCCTAAGGTCGTGCGATTGATATCCGGCTATATGGAATAAAATCTAAAATATTAGTGAAAAATTTAACAGTAAATTTCATTTGTACTACAACTTAGAAACACTGGAGCACATTATAAAGGGAATTGTTGATAGGACCATACCTTTGTTAGCACTAGATAAAGCTTCCATAGACTTCAGCAATAAACGTTAGCCAACATTTTTGATTCAGTTCTTAAGTAAAAGTGACTAAAAGCTGTTAAGAATTTCTATGTATTCCGTATATGTGTCCGAAATTAATTCGGTATGAATTATTAAAAATAATTGAATAGAAAAAAATCAATCGAAACAAATGATATCTTTGACGATATTTTACTAAGCATGATTGTGTTTAATTATTGAGTAAGATAATTCAAACTTGGCACAAACTTTTCTATAGTTTAAATCTTCACTACGATAGTATTGGTCTAAGATCCCGCTATACAACGACCTTCACCGAGATGCTTATTTAATGAAACGTATTTTATATTTAATTTAATATGTCAATAAATATAATCTATATGGGTTGTCTAGCAAATTTCAGTCCAGAGTATGTTTAATTAATAATTTAAAAAAAATATTTTTTTAAACATTTCACCGGTATGATTATAAGATAAATTCTATACCTGTCGAAAGTATGAAGCCCATAGAATATGCAAACTTTATGCTGCCCATTCTTTTCCGGTCACAACTATCGGGTTGCCTGGTATAAACAGGTAAATCTGTACTAGCATTTTGCAACGGTCTGTTTATTGAATGAAATTTAAATGAAATTAAAGATTATTTTATTCTGAACACGGTGATATAGGGTTGTCTGCGAAAAATCAGTCCAGAATTGCGGTTGTCGAATTTTAAAAAGTAAAATATTGCTCCAAGTGAATGTGTGCGACTGAGAAGTCCTAACCGACCATCCCATGCGATAGAAGAGGACACAGCATAGCAGCTGTTTAAAGTCCGCCCACTTAAATAATGAGAGTGCGCATGCTATTTGGGTTTGGAAAAGAAAAAGATAGTGATGGACTCGTATAATTATACATCATTTTGGAGTAGTTTATTATTTAAATAGAGAAATAGTTATTTATATTTTTTTTAATCAATTAATTATTTATGTGTATATTTTTTATGTGACACTAAAGTATATATACATCTTTAGTAAAAAAGAAGGTTGTAGTGATTCATATATAATAATACCCTGATTAAAAATATTGATTGAAAAAAATTAAAAAATTTACCTACTACATGCAAATTATAAATCTATAAATGTAAACAGAGAAATTGAAATCAATTGAAACTATTGGAAAAAAATTCAAAACTCATAAAAGTGAATTTTTTTAATCAGGGTAATCTTGCAAATTTTATTTTTATTATAAGAAGACAAAATAAAAAAAGGATGCGTGTACTTATGTACGCGCGTAAGAAGTTAAACTTCTTTGGCTTTCTTTATTTTTTTTAAATATTAAATAATTAATAACAAATATTTAACGTTAATAATATTTAATATTTAGTATATTATTAAATTATTAATTAATATTAATAATTATTTATTATTTTATTATATTATTCATTCAATTTAATAACTACGTATGTTTCATAACCTTTTAACTAAGTAACAATAGGTCTTTGTGAAAAAGCATTCCTAAATTTATTTGAAAAAATAATTAAAACTCCTTTATTTGTTTAAAAGGTAAATAAACCATAATGACGGTCATTCAAAATTCTTAGCATAGCTGCTAACTTCACGCATATTCTATTTCTTTCTACTTGTAGATTGTCTTATTTCCATCTCGCTCGCGCACGCTCGGCGCCCATACTGATAATTTAGTGTCACGGTGCGCGCGCATCGTAAAATTTCACTCTCATCAATTTTTCATAACGCGCCTAAAGAAGTATAACTTCAAAAACAACAATTAAAAAATTACTTCTATTTATTGTAAAAAATTAAAAATACAATTTTTTTTTTAATTATTCAGAATCCGAGTCATAGGACATAAAACTACGATCTTCAACTTCTGAATCTTCTTCGTCATCACTTTCTGTTTCACTTTTTTCGACAATGTCTTCTATCTTTAAAGGTGTATGATCCCCAATGAATCCTACTGGTTTTAAATATTCATCTAAGAACCGTTCGCAGTTCTCAGGCTCAAATTTCACGCATATTGGATCCGTTGCATTAAGCCACATGGAATTTACGAAAATAAAAAATAAAATATATATTTTAATATATTATATTTTAATATATTATATTTTAATATAGAAATATAGAAGATGTATTAGCTAAGATAATTTTAAATCATAATAATTTTAGCAATATTTTACTTTTTAAAATTCGACAACCGCAATTCTGGACTGATTTTTCGCAGACAACCCGATACCACCGTGTTCAGAATAAAATAATCTTTAATTTCATTTAAATTTCATTCAATAAACAGACCGTTGCAAAATGTTAGTACAGATTTACCTGTTTATACCAGGCAACCCGATAGTTGTGACCGGAAAAGAATGGGCAGCATAAAGTTTGCATATTCTATGGGCTTCATACTTTCGATTGGTATAGAATTTATCTAATAATAAATTAAAAAAATATTTTTTTTTAATTATTAATTAAACATACTCTGGACTGAAATTTGCTAGACAACCCATATGGATTATATTTATTGACATATTAAATTTAATATAAAATATATTTCATTAAATAAGCATCTCGGTGAAGGTCGTTGTATAGCGGGATCTTATACTATATGTTTCAACTTCTGATTACGCGAATCTAAAATGGTTCACTATTCATATACTAGCTGACCCGGTTAGGTTGTTTTGGCATCTTTATTATTTCTGGGAAAAAAAAATTTTTTTGTTGAATAAAAATAACTATCAACACCTATTTTTATAATAAATAAAAATAATAAAAATAGGGGTTGATCGTAGAGGGTTGTATGTATTTTTGTATGCTATATCATAAAATAGTAAAATTTTATCAAAAAAATATAAAAGCCGTTTCGGAGAAGTATGGGAACAAACATTGCGACACTAGAATTTTATATATTAGATATATTTATGTAATAATCTTAATCTTCCAGGACTAACCAGTCCTACAAAACCTCAAGCGAGCTCCATACCAATTTGAAAGTACATACAAATTTTAACTTAAATAATTGCACACTAAACAATTAAAATGAATAATTAGGACATTAAATCCGACGACCAATGGTGACATTGACATTCTAGGTTGGCAAATCAGTAATTTGCGCGACTCAAATGCTGGAATCCATGGTTAAGAAGCCCCGCCCCACCCGAGCTGAGACGTCAGATGTCGCGAACGCAATCCTGGATGGCGCTGACTGCGTGATGCTGTCAGGCGAGACGGCCAAGGGTGATTATCCCCTGGAGTGTGTTCTCACTATGGCGAACATTTGCAAGGAAGCTGAAGCCGCTATCTGGCACAAACAGTTGTTCATCGATATGGTTGCTCAGGTATGATTTCTATTATATGTAGTGTTCTATAGTAGTGTCCCTCAATCCTAAAGCCTTCGATCAGTCTAACCAATGACTGCCCGAAGGCCCCTGCGGCTAAAGTTGTATATATCCTTAGAGGCTGGGATAACTTTGTTAGCGCGTTTCAGGGAATGACGTCATCGAGCTTTGTAGCCGAAGACTGTAGTTACAAAATAATTTTTTTTATTACTATTTAAAAATTAACTTAGAAATGTAAATAAGGTATCAATATAAACAATTTAGAGTACTCAAATGTGTGGGGATGTTCTAAACATTATGTTTTATTATCTTTACTCTATATTCACCTTACATATAACAAAGGTTTTAATGCTTATTATTGACATGCAATGCTATGCTTATAATAAGGCTGAATTTGGCCACACTTAACTAAGTTAGCCTGAGTGAGCAAAAGGTCGAATATGAAGTACGCACAAATATGGAACAGAAATAGCTTTGATGCCATAAATAAAATTTAACTTTTACCTTTTTCTTTGTTTAATGCTCAAAAAAAAAAACAGTTTTTCTTCATTGTATAACAGTGTAGTTATTCATAAATATTGGAAAAATATATGTTCTCAATAACAAATCGTAGGTTAATGTTTAATAATATTAAGCTATGCGCTGTAGCGTAAATGTATATTAATTAATAATATAACACTAATAACTAAATTATTAAAGTACCAAATTCAAATCGTCTTAACTTGAAAACAGGATAATTTAATTTTTAATGATAGCGCCATCTAGTTGCCGCTTTTTAGTTCTACGCAATGGCAAAATAATATTTCACACATATCGGTAGAAACAGGAAAATACTATTAAATAAATGTCATTAAAGAATTGTGGCTTTTAATTAAAAAACGAATTGCATTTTTACATGTTCTGATTACGAATTCATGGATTTATGAAATTAAAGGGTAGTTTAACTAAAATTTCTATATATTAGTCTAACGCCAGGTGCGTTTTATATAAATAATACTATTTTCACCACCCCCATGTCTGACATACTGTACAAACCAGAGTTGCTAGATTTGATTTTACAACATGTAAAAACAAAAGCAGAAGGTTCGTTTGACTAAGCGAAACCGATGGAGACACCTAAAGGCTCGCGATTACGTCACCAGCCTCTTTTTATTTATCAAAAATAAAATTTGCAGTTAAAAATTTCAAGTATCAAAAAATCTATTAAACAAACAAAGATGTATCATATCCCTTCATAAACATATAATTCTCTGAACAGGTGAAATCTAGTATCGAACCAGCGCACTCAGTGGCGATCGCGTCCGTAGAAGCCGCTACCAAATGCATGGCGTCCGCCATCATCGTGATCACCACCAGTGGAAGGTCCGCGCATCTCTTGAGCAAGTACCGTCCAAGATGTCCAATTATTGCCGTCACCAGACATGCTCAAACGGCTCGTCAGGCTCACCTTTACCGGGGAGTTCTGCCCATTGTTTACCAAGGTACGATTTTGCTATATATTACGTGAAATTTTATAGCAAAAAAACATTGTATTATTAATATTTTATTTTAATTGCTTGCTTAAAAAGGTTACATATAAAATAACGCGAATTAATTATATTGTTAACAAAATTCAATGATTTTATGTGCCACTTCAATTTGATAGCCAACAATTGAGACTTGGCTTAAAGGCCTCGTTACCAGGCCATAAAAAAACCAACAATTGTGTTGTAGCAGATAAACCATTGTTAAGCTTCTTGAATGGTTACCGTGTCGGTGTAACTACAGTTCTTGACTATGTATATTAATGTGATATTTTATCATAGGTATATGACTCATATGTAGGTTCTTTGTAAAATTCATTTTAAGACAAATTTTGTATGCCATTATTTGTCGCAGAATATGCGAACTTTAGATTATTCCTGCAAATAATTTATTATTTTTATTTTATTCATTAATTTACAAGAATAATCTAAAGTTCGCATAACAAATAATACAAATATACCGACGTAAGTGTTATCCGCAGTTATGTTTAAGTTATTATTGATAACTCGCGTAATCGATTTTATTTTGTTTATATATATATATATATATATATATATATATATATCTATTACAATAAATTACTTCAACATGTCATGTGGATCATGTTGTAATGATTTTGATAATTTATACACATGTATAAAAGATTATTTTATCGCTATAGAGGGTGTAGCCAGCGATTGGCTCAAGGACGTAGACAACCGCGTGCAGTACGGAATTCAGTTCGGGCGCGCGCGTGGCTTCCTTCGTACTGGAGATAATGTTGTGGTGGTCACCGGATGGAGACAGGGTTCCGGATACACCAACAATATGCGTATCATGTAAGTATATAAAAATACTAGTTCTATTTTCTCTCTGGTTATTTAAAAGATGTTTAGCTTATTAAATACGCGTTTGCGTTGTTGGCTTTACTTTCTTGTTCGTTTGTTAAATAAATAGCTAGACCTCAATAGAGATACCAAATTGAACTTAGGAAATCTAATATTTGAAACTCATATTCACGTTTGTTTAAATTTGCTATAAGTAAGATATATTTGTTTACATTTTTATTTATTGAACTAACTTATGAATAGCATTGGTACAATGTCAAAAGCTTTTTAAATTATAACTCTCTCTCTCTAACCCTGAGGTCATGCGTTTGAATCACGGCTGTGCACGAAGACACGACCGATAATTCTTTATTTCTATGTGCGCATTTTCCCGCTCTTATCATGAAGGCAAATAGTGAAGAAACTTGCTGGTCTTAGGCCTAAATATCGACAGCACCTTAAGAAATAAATTATCACGAAACAGATATAGAAATCTAATATCTATAATCTATAATCAGATATAATAAGTATCAGATTTTAAATTTTTGTAATTTTTTTTTTCAGCCAAGTGGAGTAAAATCTCGGAAGTGCCAAGGGCTGAACATTTTCCGTCAAGTATTAGAGCAAATCAGCAGTGATACGCGCACGCACGAGTGATATTATATAAGCTATGTACGAAATTATCTAGCCTAGGAAATATTATTTATTATGCAAAAACTTTAATAGTGTTGCGATTGTAATGCTGAATAAAACATTTTAATGTTGATTTTGTTTTTTTTTAATATAATTTTAGTACAACAAAATGAACATTTGAGATAATGTATAAAATGACAACATTTTACTAACTTGGAGACGTTTGATTCTTATAATATCCATTTGCCAAGTGTGAACCCATACACATTGTTATTTTTAATTCCCTGAATGGCTTTAAAATTCAAATTAAATATTCATAATTTCAAGAATCCGCCAAAACGTTTCTCTCTTCTCGCACTAGTCGATATAATGATTACATAATTAAAACTATTTAATAAAACAAAAAAATGTGTGGTTTTCGTATCAGCGACCCGTGGCAAGGGTTGAAAAAACATTCAAAAAGTGTTTTATACCAATTACTGGAAAATAGTAAAAGTTCAGATTAAAATTTGTAGAACAAATGGTTAAACTTTCCAATATGGACCATCGATTTGAATGCCCATATATTTTTTGTAGATAGTACTCGCTAAAAGAAAGCGTTTTGCAAAGTTTTAAGTTGCGGAAACTTACGGTTCATGAGATACATTTATTTTTACACGCTTTATATTAGCTTCACCTGTATGTATGTATGTAACCGACTCCTTCGGACTCGATTTTGACCCACATTAAACGGACAGATTTAATTCAAACTTTGTACACTTATAAAGAATCAGCGACAATATAATAATTTCATAGGTTTATCTCGAAAAAACAATGAAATTTTTTTTAAGTCCACAAAGCAATACGATTAAATTGAGACAACACGTATTGCTGCTAGGACTAAAAAGTGGAAAATAAATATAGTTAAAAAAAACTAAAAAACACGCTTTTAAAGCACATCAAACTAAAAAGTGAAAAATAATTCCTAATTTAGGCTGAAAATGGTAATGAACAAAAAATACTGGTATTATTGTGAAAAAGCGTGTCGCGCTCTGTGCCATATTTTTCGTCTATCGAGCAACCCATTTTCAGCCTAAATTAGGAATTATTACTTTCCATACAAATGGGCAAATAACACGCCATAACATAATAAATTTGACTTGCAAATTTGATTAGCACTTGCATGGAAATAGTCGGAGAATCCACCATGTCTCGTTGATATTTTAGTCAGGATGGTCTCTGGTTGTACGGTCATGTTAGGTCTATTAGCTTTGTGGCCGACACTGTCTCTGAGGAGCTGTATCACCAAAAAAATTCTCCCTTTTTTTTTTTTTTTTGGTTGGGGGGGGGGGCGGGGGCCTGGGGGGGGGGGGGGGTGGTTTTCTTTCCCCCCCCCCGGGCACGGGCGCGGCGGGCCCCGCGGAAATTTTTGGGGGGGGGTGGTTAGGGGGGCGCCCCCCCCCCGCGCGCGGTTTGGTCTCCCCGCGTCTAGTTCGGTGAACTGAAATGGACGTGGAAGAGGCCAATTTTTTGGGGGTAAAAAAAAAAAAAAAAAAAAAAAAAAAAAAAACACTGTCTCTGATTTTTTTAAAATATATCCAATGCTGTTCTGTCAAACAACTCTTAACCACTATTTTTATTTATTGTAAAAGTTGGCATGGGATACAGGGCCTGAGTCATAGTGCGATTTAGTCTTTAGTTTTTGACCCACCACCTTGCCCAAGTCGAACTCGTCAGCTTTGCAATATGCGCATTAATCTGTGATTTGCAACATGTCAAATTAATTCTGGGTTAAAAAAATTAATAAAAATAAACTAATGTTTAAAAATGAATAAATTATTAATTAATAGAAATTAATTTAAAAAAATTGTAAAACTAGCTCATTTTCTACATATAGCCTCCTGACATATTAAACCCCATGACAGTATTAGGATTAGACAGGCGAATACGTACTATGTATTTGGATTCATGTTACGGCATCGTCAATTCGACTATTCTGTCCGACGTGAGTGACGAAAAATCAATATGGTTAATTATGGAATATTTTATAAATTTATAATTATTTGCGCGTTATTTTACTCCATAAGACTGGGTTCACACGGCATTGTCCTGCACGTTTTCATTGTATTCGTTTTTTTAACGTGCTAAAGGTGCGCTTACACGGGCAACTAAAATTGCTCAATTCCAGTCAATACTCGTCAATTATGACGTCACGACTACATCAAGCAATTTACGGCAACGGCAACAAGCATCAATACTGCGCAATACAATATTGAGCGATATGGCGCAACTTCATCAACTAGGCAATACTGTCATACACGAGCATTTCAGTTTTCGCTCGCTATGGACGACATTGTTCTTGCTGCGACGGCTTGTAGTGCTTTTTTTATTATTAATCAAAAACAAAAAAGAAAGAAAAGGAATAGGCGTATCTGGGTGCGATCGTTTTTGGCAAAGAGGACAAAATTTTCATTATGTAAAGAATTAGATGATATATTATTCAAAAACTTTACTAGAATGTCACGAACAGACTTTGAATTACTTTTGAATAAAGTTAGCCCATTAATTAAGAAACAGACGACCAACATGAAAGAACCAATTTCTGCATCAACAAAACTTGCTTTAACCCTTCGATTTCTGGCAACTGGAGATTCATACAAAAGTTTAATGTATCTGTTTAGAATTTCTGATAGTTGTATTGCATTATTTGTACCTACTGTATGCAGAGCTATTGCAGAAGTTCTTCGAGAATATATAAAGGTAAGTTATTTTAATTTAAAAGTGAGGATATTTAATTTAAAAATAATTGTATTAATCAACCTTTTTATTTATTTAAATTCACAATTAAGTAGATTTTTAATTCAAATAAATCAATCAGTAGTAATGTACTCCACGGCAGTAGTATTTCAAAATGCAGTCAAAACAAAAATATAATGTTACGAGGAAACAGTTCAGTTTCATTTCCAATGTTTACGCTGAATGCTAGTTAATTAGCGCACTGAAATTATTACGGACATTTCCTCGGCTTTGCAAAATTCCAAATGAATCAATTAAAAATACGACATAAAATAATCAAGCTGTTGGCTATGTTTGACTAGACGGTAAAAAAAAAGGAACACCGTTGTGTGAACCAAAACAGAATGAAGTTGTAATTTATAAATAATTATAAAATATATTATTTAATTATTTATAAATTACAACTTAACTTAAATTTTATTTTAATTTATTTATAACACAACAAACAGAGGCTGACTACGCGCTGGACTCTTGCCGCGCGCTATCTTACTTCCACCCGACCTCTCGCTCTCCCCGCAAGCAAGACGGCAAGCCGCAAAACAAACAAGTGCGAATGAGATATATACAAAAATTGCTAGGAATTTCCAAGTCCATTGGAAATTCGTCAATTCGTATCTGCGACATTGATCGATATGAAATATCTGGAGCAATTAGAAGCAATATCGCCGAAATAATTTATTGAATTTCTTGAAATTGCTTCATTAATTGCTCCAGATCGGTCCATTCGTGTTGCCGAGCAATTATTGCCCTCGTGTAAGCGCACCTTTACACCCGGGTGTTTACATGGTAGATTTTCATTCGTGTACAATACGAATTGCCGCAGTTTTCACACAGTTGTCACAGTGAGCGAGAACGAGACAGAGCTATATCATGTGTCTCTTTTAACCGAATTAACGTTAAAGTTCATTCGATTTGCTTGACAAGTCCGTTGAGTATTCGTTTGAACGTATAAACGGTGTACGATATTTTGCAGTACAAACGCCGTGTGAATGGGTCTATGTACCACTATTTATTCGCAAAAAAACGTGCAGGAGGATGCCGTGTGAACCTGGCCTAACGTTTATTGTCATGTTTGTCGTGTCATACAGATTAACCAGTACAGATGAATCAATAACATTTTATTTATTTTTTTACACTCACTATTTGATTGTAAAAAAATAATATTTTTATTAATTGATGCCGTGACAAGATCAGATGTTATTATTTCGCATTTATTAAAAAAATAAGGAATGCTTCCTTTAAGTGAAGTTTGCCATTTCGATTGTTTATATTGTTATTTTCACTTTCGTAGATTTAAATAACCATAGAATAAATTTAAAATTATATATTTTCCTTTCCTATTATTAAGGCGTCTATACTACCATGAGTTCGAACTATAAGACGGTAATGTCCAAGGTAGCATTTAAATGTGGCATACCAAAAGGAAAACGAACATACGCGCGTCAAGCTAATTCTGTACATACTAAGACAGTGTCGCCCTTTGTCGCATTTCCGCCTGCTTCCTTTGTGATCATTTTTATTTCTTTTTCTTTGTAATAAGTACCTAGATATTATGCACCGTTGGAGAGCTAAGATAACGGTTGTTTTTAAAATAATATGTGAGCCAAGTTTCATAAAGTTTCTTCATAATGCATTTTGGTGGAAAAATATTTAAATGTTATTAATCAAAAGCAAGTTTTTCGTCTCGCATTTTTAAATTTGGACCGATAGTTGTTGTTTTAATATTTATAAATGATCAGTTTTTATAAAACGGTTCAACAGTTCAGTGAAATGGTTCACTTTTGCATAATGAATATACGGAAATAAGTTGAATTACCAATAAGCCTGAATACGGCCAAATAATCTGTAGCAATAGGGATATTGTTGCAATAAATATGTTGGCCATTGAGCTGTTAATAAATAAATAAAATAAATAATAATAATATTGATATTTTACCGGTGGTGCGATACTTAGATAGTAGATAGACTTAGAACGTAAGGGTGTGTCCTATGTCCAATGCGATAGCAGGTCGAAAGCTGCAATCCATACGCTATTACCTGCAATCCATACGCAACCTTTAAATGTTTCTACAAAAACTGAAAAAGAAACCAATGTCTAAATTTTGTTTTAACATTATCAAAAACATATCAACCTGTATATTTTCCGTCATCATCTTTTGTATGCCGCCCCAAATGCCCAACATCATTGTTGCCACATGAATACAGATCAGCGTTGCCAGGCGTCCCGATTTTGGCGGGACGTCCCGATTTTTAAATCAAAATTAAATGTCCCGCGCGGGACAGGCTTAGTCCCGCTTTTCGGGAATAATTCGATGGCAATAAGAAGTGTGTACTACCACCACCGCACAATATTGGTACCAACTCTTTTAACAGAATCCAAAAAAATACCGGGATTATCTTCAAACTTTATGTTAAGTATCCTACCATCAAACTGCTTTCCAAAACGCCTTCTTTTTAAAATGCTTCGTAAATTTAATGAAATCAGAGTTACTCATCAAGTTTAATCTGCAGCTATCCTGTGAAGAGTTCTTCGTCTTTTTAAAGAGAAAAATGAATCTCTTAAAGAAGTTATATCTTGATAGAAATATTATGAATAAGTAATTCTTATAAAAATTACTGTCTTATTGTAAGTTGCAATTTGAAACCCTCAATCTTCAGAGTATTGTTTGAAACGCTATATTTTTCTAATACATAAGACTTTTTTTATTTTGATTTTTTTGTTTTTTAATCAGACTATTTTCGCTGTCTATTGTCACAAAAACGTGATTTGAACTCAATTAAAAACATAAGTATTTAAAAACTTCTGATTATTTAAAAAAAATTACTATGTCCCGCTTTCGACAAATGAATCCCGATTTTTTCACTTTAAAGGTGCCTAAATCCCGACTTGACTAAAAAGAAATCTGGCAACGCTGATACAGATGGCCTATGTGTATATACGATTGACTGCTCTCTTTACATTTTAGTAGTAAGGTTATTCTAACATCGATTTTTTTCCCTTTGAAGTAGAGACTCGTGGCGTTCAAGTGTACAGGCGTTGTTGTACTTTAAGTTGGCACCTGATAGATAGTACCGTTGACCCCAGAGCTGGTGCCTTCCTCGACGAATAAGTATCGCCATATAGCGAGGAAATGCTGCCAGCGATAATGGTATATATGGAGTATAGTACAAAAAAATTGATAATAATATGTATATATGGATTTAGACTTGGTTCTTCGATTATATATCTTTAAAGAGGCACGCAGCTCCGATTTTGACATAAGCCATGTGTGGATTTAGAGCCTTTAATGGCTAAAAGATCACATTGACAAAGGAAAGCTACAATATCGAGAGCTATACAAGGGAACTATGAGGAAGTATCAGAAACATAATATGTAATACATCTGATTCGGTGTATCACTTTGGTAAACGAATTGCATAGTTTAACGGACCTTTTTTATTATCCGTTGAGTCCGTTCTGTGAACTGACAAAAGTTCTATTATTTGTTAGTGCTTATAGTAGTTACTTAATTTTTGGTATTTTTTATTTTTATTATGTAATTTTGTTTTTCCAAAATAATGTTTTTCGTTTCGTATGTAAATTTTATTTATTCTTATCAATTTAGTGTCACTTGTGAGGACACGATTGTTCTTTATAAATAAATAAAACTCCTAGTTCCTTATGTTATGATGGTATAACATTGATCATAGATCCGAAGAGACACAGCTGTCTTATATCCTTTAGACAGAGATTTTATCCTTGCTTTGACGCCTCTTTAAAATAAATTTAAACAAAAGATTTCTGCCATTGGGCCGAATCGAACAAAGACAAGGTTGGTTCCATCATTTAAGAAACAAACGAGCTAACATTTATTTCAAGACGTCTTGTTTACAAGTCATTACTTCGTCATGAGCAATCGCGCGTAAATCGAATCGCGTTTTTGTATGCGGCAAACTGTACTAAACGTACTAAAATTACTGTAAACTATATAAGTAGTAAGCCGCTACCTTTTTATTGAATCATTTAGAAACATTAAAGTCAACCTAACCTAACATGTAAAATGTAAACGTTTTAGACAACTCGTGCGCAGCTGGCGCCCTTTACATCTACGCATCTCTATGTATCCCAAAAAGCTTTTATGCGTTCACTGCACTTGTAAGTTTGTTAAAGTTGAGGCTTCTTTGACCTGCGTTTACACCCCAAATCCCGAGTTTGAACGACACCATACAGACCGGTGACTGAAAACTAAAAATAACCGTGCGCTTTTCAGTACCGCCGCAACAACGGTGCGCGACGGCCGCGCAACACGCGAATCGCAATCATGGCGGAGACAATCGAAGAAACATACGAGACTTCGGTCACCCGCAAGGTGGTCCGCACGAGCCTCAAGATAGAGGAGGTGAGGACTCGACTGCTTTATCTACGACACAAATAGCGCACGCGTCGACGACGCCGCATCTGCTCACATAACAGATAACACTTGTCAGTGAACACGGACGTAAACACTAGCGATATCCTGAATACTCGTTCATAACTATAAGGCAATTGCGTGTCAAAATCCTTCCGCGTTCTTAAGCCCTTGGCGAGTTCCGATGACAGATTGGCCGGTTTCCGCCCAACCTATTCCGGGAATGAGACAAGTGGAAGCCGGCCCAAACGTCGTTCTAGTGTATCGCGACGTCAGTGGAAGTGTTTGTCAGTCATTCGTGATGTAAATAGAAGTTTGAATCCCCTGTGTGCATCATATCGTGACCTGGACACTGACCACGTGTGACCTTGCAGACAAACAACACATTCAGAATGAAACCCACCACACAATTAGGTACATTACATTCATACTACATTTAGGTACATGATATCGTAATGCCCCGTGTGTTAAACATCTAATAATAATTATTATATCTAATATTATGCTTTATAAGACGGAAATAAAAGTCATTAGGACGAAGTGGGAATAATTTGTCGCGTTATCACATTCCATCAAACTAACAATGAATGTCGGCAAGACTACTGTCCGTTTCCAAAGCGCAAAATCCAATGGAAAAACGCGTCGTGGCATATTTTCGTCTTGGCTCCCATCCTAGTTTATCTGCTACATTACGATGTTTATTCACAATACGAATGCGAACGCTAATGTGTGCGTTTTAACCACTTCAGATTTTGATAACCACCTCAGACTCAAAGAACCCCACCGTCCTATTATTAGAAAAACAATTTCATGCACCATATACCAGGTCTAATTACTGTGTTATAATGACTAGAAAGTGTAGATGTTATCGAAAAATTTTCTGTGCCCGAGTGCCAAATTTTCAGTTTTACTTGGCATCTGCATTCCCAACATATATACCAATATAAAACTTAATGATTCTTCGAATTCACACAGTATCAGTGACTCTCGTAACGTTATTTATCGGTTTCAATGTAGTTTTATAGTGCTTTTACAATTCCCAGAGCAATATGAATGCTAACACTGATTTATTGGGCTATAAAGGTCCAGAAAAACAACATTTTTTTTTCTTTGATCAGATTTGTTTAAAAGAATTCCCTTAGTTATTTTAAATGTAAGAATGGATCCTTTTAAATGTGTGTTTTGTTTAATCTGTTACGAATGTTTATCTCAGCAATATTGTTACTTTAATATAGGGAAGGGTTTAAAAAAACCTCATATAACACCCTTTTTTCGTAAGTCCTAATATAATTTGTTGCTATGGACCCCTGAACTACCGAACCGATATCAATCAAATTTGCACACCGTGTGCAGTTTGATCTTACTTAAAACATAGGATAGCTTACATCTCAATTTATACCCGCAATATTATTTTATTGCAAAATATTTGTTTATTATTTAATAGTCACAATTCTAACAGATGGCGCTGTGTTGAAAGCACCAACGTTTCACATAAGCTACAATTTAAAGGCATAACCACCAAAAAAGCATGGTGGTCCCCATGACTGGTGTTCTCCTACCGTTTCCCTTGAATAGTTTACTACTATGTTATATAACAAAAACCTTAGCCACAGCAACGCTTGGCCGGTCTGCTAGTTTAGATACATATGCTCACATGCAATAAAATTAGGTACCTACCATACAATCTGTCCAAGGAGCAATACGAATGTTTGCAAAATATGCTGTATTACATGCTGTAATACATGTTCCAATGTTTGTAATACTCTGAGGAACTACACAGTATGTACACAGAAACAGTATTTTTGTCATATTAACGTCATTATAACGTTATTGATGCTTTGGCAAAAAGAATACCTATATTTGCTGTTTTATTGTATATGTTTTAACATACAGCAACATAAACAACACTGTAATCAAATAGAATTGTCTCTGGTCTTATTAAAATCGTACATTTAAGTTAGTACCGTGTTGTTTCTATACTAATATAATTATTACCATGGTAACAACAGCAAGAACCAACTTTAGTCCACTTTTATTGAATGACATACTTAATTTTTGACGCAATGTCGTATTTTTAATGTTTTATCATTAGTCAACATGATTGTTGTATTTTGTTTTTTTAAAGACAGGCTTTGTATGTTGGGAAACTGTCAAAACAGTTACTATAATGACTTAATGATTTATTGGATTAGCCAAAATTTCACCAAAGCTACAAACAGTTCATCTGGCAGTTTCACAGTTTATTTATATTTTGTAAAAATTAAAATTGTGTTCTGACGTAACCATGAGCACAAAATCTTGTGAATGAAAATTCCTTAAGAACTCATCATACAAAAAAATAAAAAAATCATACAACGATTTCGCCATTCACATTCAACTTGAGCAAATTTTTACTTCTCTTAATTTAAATACTCTTAAAATGTCTGTTACTTAAATGGTATTTTCAAAACTTTTAAAAATAGTAACTAAACGATTATTATTATAAAATATTCGACGCGAACTCTAAGACAACAAAACTTTTAATTTCTTTACCTTTCACCCATGCCCTTCACTATCACAATAAAACGAAATATGTAGGTTATAAAATTCTATAAATACGTTCGCTAATCACTAGTATACCATTTAAAAGTAATGACAGTATTTCAACACAGCAAAACACTGCAACAAGGTCGTCACATCCCGTTTAATATTTTAACATTCATTCGCTATTAGCGATCGAGATATTTCTATTCCAACGACCCAAATCAACATGATAGACGTTAAAATTAAACCCACAAACCACTCATATCAGATACAGAATACATGTAAAGTTAGTAATGCATTTGCACAGCAAAAAAGAAAAGAAAAAAGCGTTGACTTTTAAAGTCTTAAAGATCACGCAATTTTGTTAAACAAGTGAAAAAGAAAACATTTTCGATGCCCTGTTAGTTAGAAGTTTATTAAATTGATCGAGAGAGACCTGTTTTTATTGAATTCAATTCCTGACAAATAAAGACCATTTTGTTTTTGAAAAAAGCGAAAGTCTAGATCATCGGTCCTCAACCATTTTTATGTAGCGACCCACAAAAAGCCAAAAAGTTAAGTAAAACAGTCTTGCGACCCGGTCACTGTAAAATTATTATTTAGTTTTATAACACTACACCATAATTAATTATTCATTCCTTTAATAAACGAATCTTTTGTACCTATATGTAGTTTGTATTTATTATAGTGTAAAATATATCCTTATACAAGTGTACAGGACATTTCTGTCCATGCAGAAATTCATTACATAGATTTTCTTTCTATTACAAGTATCGAAATCGTGGGAATTTCTATATGATAGTTGAATACAGATTGCGCAATTTTCTTTAAACCTAGTAGAACTATTTTTTTTTATTTAATCACTCAGAAAGAGTTGTCATAGTGTACAATTTTTTTGACCCCTTTAGCTGATACAATATACTGTTGTTTAACCAACTTTAAAAAGTTGAAGATGAGGTATACAATTCGACGTATTTTTAATATGTGATCATGTTATTTATTACTCATTTCTGTAACAAGCTATTGTCAACTGATCACAAAGAATGACACACAAATGCGAGGACATGACCTGTTACAGTTTTCTTAAGCCTAAATATTTTAGAGTGAAGTGAAACCTTGAGCTTCTGCCAATTATACCTTTTGTGTAGTTTGTAAACTCCATATCGACACATCATTACTAAGAAGTAAGCCGCGTTCGCTCTAACCAAGTAAACCAAAGTATCCAGCGGTTGTTTAAAATATAATTAGTGCCTTTAATATATAACAATGGGTTTTAATATCTATTTCCCTTGGTCTTCGCATCATGCGTGAACGAAACAAATTAGCTACTTATTTTATTGTTGTGTTTATAATTGTCAGGAGATAGGAGATATTAAAGAAAAAAAATAACATTGTCGACATTAGTATATTTAAGAAAATTCTACGGCAATATTAATTTTACATAACTGCCAGTGATTGACAGAATGACAGATCATAGAGCTTTGTAATAATAAACACTATGTTTTTGAATAATATTAATTTTTTATTATTTTACCAATTTGAATTCAATATTCGTTGTTAAGACAATACGACGTGTGTCGTCGGGTCAGCAAGGAAGAATACAAATATAACAATTTCATTTATCTCTTCTTTATCTCGTCTTTGTTGGTACAAAAGTGTTTGTGTATTTAAATTGCCAGTAAGATTAGTCGTTCTTTGTTCATTGACTAAGCTTTATTATCACGATTCAGTACTAAAACGATCATAAATCAGTCTGTACTCGGTAGGTACGTAAATAAACGGTGCATTACAATCCAAATAAGGATGTATGTACGCTGTTCCGTTCCTCGAATCAAACGCGCAAAACACACAGTCGAACAACTGTTCGGGAACCCTGCCAAAGTGCGATTTTACCTAATTGATGAGCAGAAACACAACATCCCAAGCGTTTGATCGCGCTCCAGCGAATCTCTAATAACTTTAGAATAAGTCCGTGCTAAATTCATTATTTGTATATAATGAATTTAAAATGTTTCTGAACTAACAAGACGGATATTGCATGTTCAACGGCTTCCGTTCAGTTACTAGCTACGCAGTTGCTACGCTGTCTACGCTGCTACGCCTATGATACTGGAAAAGTAATTAATAGCAGAAAAGTTTAAACTTTTTGCATGCCAGTGATTCACATCAGTTCGACAACCCATAGCAATGGCGTCAAGTCACGGAAGTCGCAACGCAACGCGCTGTTGCTTTGCGAGCGCGAAAATGGAACGCAGCGGATATAATTAAAACTGGTCGGACAAATCGCTAGCAGGGAATAAACACGCGAATTCGGTCAACCATCGAATGTTTCCTCGAGGTTTTTTTACAAGATTAAGGCTCCTGTATGATGCGCAAATTTAAACACTCTCAAAAAATTACCCTAAGATTAAGGACAGTGGACTGTATTTTGTCGTCTTATTAATAACATTATTATTTTGAAGTATTGAGGATTGCAAGTAATCAAATCGAATATATTTAGACAACGAATCTATACTATTATATCAATTGAGTACATTAA